TGTACAGTGCTCATCTAATTTTGTGACTTGTAAGTATTAGCTCCTGCTTCCTTAATTCCTTCATCAGTTGTCCCAAAAATGCAGAGTAGCTTGGTATTCTAAAATGGAAAATAATATTTGATTAAAATAACTAAATAAGCCCCCCCCCCCATTTTCTTCCCCAGGACCCAGAATTATCTATTCTTAACTTCATTTCACCCTTGATATTTTTTGCCAAAGCATATCTAAATACATTAGAACCACTGTCAGGTTTTTAGTTCCTATTAAACATACCTTTATTTTTTTCCTTTCTGAAAAGTATGTTGGAATATAGATCCAAGGTTAGATAGATTGCATAGTCCCTGCTCTTCTTTTTCGCCATTCATGTTACAACTTGACCCAAAAAATTGCCTTTCTTTTCCCAAAACCCCCCTTTTGGGAAACCTCAGTTTGTGTGTGTGTATGTGTGTATAAATATTTTAAAATTCAATATTAATTCTTAAGGTTTCAGACAAGGTGTACTGAAATAATTCATGTATACTAGAATGAGGAAAACTTGAGATTAGAGAAGTTACATCCTTTTGTAATTTTTATCTATGTGTATGTATATGTTTATACTTAATTAGACTGAATTTATTGCACACAGGGCTTGACTTAACTTTGAGGAAGGCACTGTTCTGTATGCTAAGATAGTCATAATATTACTAAATCACAGGTGATTATAATACATCATTCATTTGGGAAACAACATTTCAGATTCTTTTATGCAAATCATTTTTCATTCTTTTATTTTAAAAAATCTTACATAATATTATTGAATTGTGATAAATTTGTGTTAAAAAATGTTAAATTATTTGCCAAAAGAAAAAAAAAAACTAGATTTGAAGTAATGGTTAAATTACTTATAGGTTTTCTCTAAAAGTAGAGAGAATATTTTCCTAAATACTGCTTTAAGATTAAGAAGATAGACTATGTACAGATTGCAGCAGGATTTTTAAACCATGTTCCAATTTTAGATACATTTAATAACGAGAGATAGGGAAATCAGCACTGATACATTTGCTCTTTTCTTCCTTCATCTCATTTTGTTAGGTTAATATTTCTGTTTTGTTAGAATTTAAATATTTATATTCTTTTTGATTCATTTAGTGTGCCTTTGACCAGTCTGTCTTGATTTCTGAATTAATACTGTTTTATTTTAATTGGCTAGATTGTATTATTAAATGGAGTTTATCATCTTATCTTTGATGTCATGTTTTATTCAGTATGTTTGTATTTAGCATCAACATATATGGGGTTCTTCCTTTGGTTTGTCAAATTGTATTTGCTTCCAGTATCTAGGTTTTTGCATACATACATACTTTTTTTTTTCCATTTTACTTTACTTTTTTTCTTCCCTGTTACTTTGTTCTCCCTCCTCCCCTTTAAAATTGTCAAGGTTTAGCATAGGCTTTTCTAATCACATTTTACCTACATTGATTTGCCTTTATTGATGTTAAACTCCATTGTTTTAATTTTTACCTTAATGTGGATAATTCCCAATTTGATGTTTTTATCCCACTTTTCAAAGCTCTACTAGATAAACATATCCAACTGGCCACTGGATATGCACAGTTAGATACCTACTATGCTTGGTTAGATACAGAGACTTACAAATTCAACATATAAATTTAGCGTATCCAAAGCTAAAATTATCTTTCTTCCCCACACTGCTCCTTGAATCTGTGATTTGTTTCTATTTTCATGAGTGGCTTTTCTCACCTTTCATACCCAATCTCTAATTAAGCTTTGCACATTTTCTCTTACATTTCTATTAGAACAGATCCATTCTGAATAATTACACTTTCTCAGTTTAAACATTTCCATTTTCATATTGCTTCCAGTAGTTTTTCTGAAATACTGATCTTGTCACCCCTTTGTTCAAAAGCTGAGTAACTTTTTCGGACATCAGCTCATAAATTCTAACATGTTTTCTCCTAGTTTCTGCTATAGCTGAATTGAGCCATTGTTACTGATAGGCATGTAATGGGTTCTCTTGATGAGTGGGAGTAGAAAGTAGGTTGAAAACTACCTGTAGTATCAAATCCAGTCATCCTTGCATTATATTGTTATTTTACTACCTTAACCTTCCCATGTTTTATGACTTATACTCTGTCCATTGTTTGTATAGTCCATGTATCTTTTAAATCCTAGTGCATTTGTTCAGTGAACTTATGTCCACTTAAATTGCTCATAGAATAACACCTGTGTAATCTTCAAATCCTTGCTCAAATAGATGCTCTTTAATGAGACTTTTAAATGTGAACTGTCTTAGACACAAGAAAAACTCTTTGATGTATCAGTATCTCAATGATATGTTAGTATTTTCTACCAACTGTGGTTATTCCCATATAGGATCATTGTTATTTATGGACTAGACTCCTATATTCTAATATGATCTTTTTCTTTTCCTATACTCCAAGGACCTTGGCATATGTTGTTTTTAGCATATGTGAAGAATAGCTAAGGCAAGTTAGGGATATTTAACCTAAAAAGAAAATGTGAGAATTCTTAGGAATGGGGGAAATCTTCACAATATTTAAAGTTATCAGTTAAAAGAGGGACTCCATTTGAGATATGTGGAGTTTCAGTAGGCAGGCGATAGAAATATAAAGGAAAATCTTTTAGCATATACGATTAGAGAAAAATAAGTAAAATGTCTTATACTGGAAGTAATGCATGGTAGGATTTCAATAAATGGTAATCCATGTTTTTTTCTTTCTAAAATGAGATATAACTTACATATAATAAAGTACACAGCTTTTAAGTGTGTAATTCAATGACTTTTTTTTTTTTTTACATATATTAGATGCCTGCACAAGTCGGAAAGATAGGAAACCTTTGCAATCTCTAGACATGTACCTTATTTCCCTTCTATCGTTTCCCTGTAAGTTTAACCATGATCCTGAGTTTTATCACCAGAGATAGTTTTTCCTGGAAACCTATATGTATCCTTTGTGCCTGTCCTCTTCCTACTCATCCTTATGTCTGTGAGACTCATCCATGTTGTGGAAGGTAGCAGTAGTTCTTTTTGTTTGCTATTCTCTTTTCATCAATGTATAGGATTCTGTTAAGTGAATAGACACACACACACACACACATCACCCCATTCATCAATCTGAGTAATTTAGTAAATATTGTTGTATGTTTTCTGAAATGGTTCTATGAATTTTAGAGATTTGTAACCTATCAGCTCCTTCCTTCCACTTGAAAGATAAAGACATGAAAACTCCCAAATACTAAACTATCTGTCTATAGCCAAATGATTTGTTACCTAGCCACAACTAGAACCTAGGGCCCAAAGCTATGATTCCCTGTCATTTCTTTTCCGTTTTACATGCAATTACTTTCTCTTTCGTGGTTTTCTTGACACCAGCTTTCTCATTATTTCCCCTGAGAAATTACTATTTGAGAGCATTTTTCTTTAGCATTGTGATAGGTAAAGCAAAATTGGTTTCATTTATATGGCAAATACTTATTAAGTGCTTGGGATGTTGTCGTACACTGTTGCAGAGATTGCAAATATGTAGGGATATATGTTGATGAAATAGAAATATTACATCTGGAAAGCAGTGTTAAGTGTAAAAAAGAACTTAATTATTGGAATTTGAACATCTGTGTTAGATCTCAGCTCTATCATTCCCCTCCTTTGATTTATTCAAGCTATTTAATCTCCTTGATTCTTAGTTTTCTCCATTCATTTATTTAGCCCCTACTACATACCAAATCTGTATAAGGTGCTGGGAATATAGCAAAATTACTGTTATGTGGGGATTTTGTGAGGATCATGTGTAGAATGTCAGTAAAGTAGATAAAGCACCAGTCATACTACCTAGCTCAACATAAGCATTGATTAAATTTACTATGAGTGTGGTTTTCAAATGTTTTTGCCTGGAAACCCTTTATGCTCTTAAAAATTATTGAAGGACCCCAAAAGCTTTTGCTTCTGTGTATGTAATACATACCCAATTATATGTATTAACATTTATAATATTTGAAGTTAAAACTGAAGATTTTAAGTATTCACTTAAAAATAACAGTACTTTGCCTATATTTCATAAATAACATTATTGGTTAAAATAATACCACTTACTCTTGAAAACTTGGATTTATCTTTGGCAACAAATTTTGATTGTTGGTTTTTTTTTTTTTTTTTTTTTTTTTTGAAATGACATACTTACTTTGTTTCTTTTCAAGGAGAAAATGCTAAAAACACAGTTGAACTAACTAGTTTGTAAATGATACTCTATGGGAAAGGTAACATTTTCAGCTTGCAAGCCAGTAACACACTTGCTTTTCCTAAAAAAAAAAAAATCACTCTACTTAGTCATGCTTTGTATACTTCTTACCTGATTCCTTAGAATGTTAAGATATGTATGTGAGGCTGAAAATTTAATAACATTTTTATTGCACTGTCAAGAACATTGATTAAAATAACTTAAAAAAAGCTATGTGTGCATAGTGGTGAGTACAATGACTGTTAGCAGAGTTTTCCACTACTGCCATGGAATGTGCTAGAACATAAGCAGTTTTTATCAACAGGCTTTTTTGCATCCTCAAGTGTACATTTCAACATAGTGAAAAGGGAAAATACCATCTTAGATTATTTTGAAAATAACTTTGACCATATCAACTTCCTGAAAGCATTCCTCCCCCTTCAACATTTTGGGAAACACATTATAGAAGATACTATTGGTACTTAATTACAGTATTTTATTTTCACTTTAATTTTGTTGTTTTCTTTTTTTTCCTTGAAGGGTTGGCATAAAGTCTCTAGAGAGGTATTGTATGTGTATGCAACTCTTAGACAGTTCAGTTAGTGGCATCAACCTTTTTGATCCTATAACAAGATAGCAGCAAACTAACTTACAGAACATGTTAATGTTATAGAAGCAGTAAAATAGGAACTTTGTTTTGTTGATGTATTATTTTGAGTATCGATTCAAAATTTTCTCTAATTATGCCTTCTGTTTTATTTTTAGGCCTGCATTGATGATAATGTTGATATGGTGAAGTTTCTGGTAGAAAATGGAGCAAATATTAATCAGCCTGATAATGAAGGTTGGATACCACTACATGCAGCTGCTTCCTGTGGATATCTGGATATTGCAGAGTAAGGCAGTTACTTAAATACTCTAACAAAATAATTTTTCATTAAATTATTGTCTGTCTGCTCACATCAAAGTTTATCAACCATAAATATTAAATATGGGAGTGCTACTCTGTGAATCTCTTAATAAGCCTTTATAGTTTTATTTCTCTGCCCTCTTCTCCCCCCATATTTAGTGGAGAATATCATCTGTCAGTTACGGGTGGGAGAAAGCAGGCAGTGCTTGGTGAAATGAAAAGTGCTTTTGCCTGGGAATCAGAAGATCTGAATTACTTAAGTTTTATTACTTATACTGCATCTTCTGGTTCCCTTTCTGGGCCTTGATTTCTTTCTGTGTAAAACAAGGAAATTTTTTTGCCACTGCATGCAATATTGCTTGTTCAAAATTACAATTATCATTCTCAAGTTCCTTATTCCTTTCTGTTCTTTTCATACCTGACAGAGGACTTGAAGGTCTCTTTGAAATATTTGGTTCTTAGGCTCTAGTGTCAATTGATGTAGATTATGAGTGCTTTTTCAACTACTCTCAAAGATGATCTTGAGAGTAGTTGCTTGACATTTTTAAGCTTCAATTTTCTTTTCTCTAGGATGGGAATAATATTTCCTAGATTTTTTTTTTTTTAAAAAAAATGAGGGTTAACTCAACCTTTCTAGCATAGTACCTGACATATCGAAAATACTAAGAATATATTAGCTTTTGACCATTATCTTACCTTCTCTGGGAAAATGAAACTCTAACTTCTTTCTTGAAATATTTATCCTTTTTTAATGCTTCCTTTTTTAATTCATGCTTCTGAGTTTGAAAGGGTAATAATTTTTCTAGTACAGGTTTGATTGATAACCTGTTAGGTCAGTTGGATGATTTTAGCTGCAAGTTAACAGTATAAAACTTAAAACGATCTAAATAGTAAGGACACTTGTTATACAGGATAATATGTAGTTTGGGAAAGGGCATTTAGGTTGAATTGCTCAGTGATGTCATCAAAGGCCTGGAGTCTTTTTTTTTTTTTTTTTTTTAAATTAGCTGGAATGTTTTGTAAAAGAAATTTCCTTGTGTCTGCTATTTGGCTATCCCTAGTACCAATTGTATAGGAAAGAGAGAATATATTTTTTATACTTTCCCTCTATATACTGATTTTTTTCAGTGAGTTAGTTCACTGTAGGAAATCATCCGTGTGTGTGTGTGTGTGTGTGTGTGTGAGAGAGAGAGAGAGAGAGAGAATCCTTTGTACTTGTTTCGATCCATTGTACTTACTATCCTTATTCATTTCTTGCAAATTATAGTAATTAACATTTGGTAAGTAAGAATCTTCATGTTGGCTTCTAAGTGTTTGGACATGATGAAATAAAGTGATCTTTAAAACTTCCCTGCTCTCTAGTATTATAAGATGTTCTAAACTCATCTTTTACATTTCCTGCCCTGAGTTTGAAATTGCCATTTCTCCAGAGTCCTATTTCTTATAATGGGTGCTGGAAATGTTCATTGCTGTTGGGTTTGGACAGTGTTCTGCATCTTGATATTTTTCTCTTTTATTGTGTTAGTATTTCCTTTCTCCCTTGCTTCATTGCCAAGAACTATAGGATTAATCATATAATTAATGATTATTTTTTTATATTACATATACATTACCCTGCTTATACCAGCAATCCTACCAACAATGACATAATTACTGAAAACATTTTGAGGTTTTTGGGTTTTGGGTTTTTGCTTTTTTTTGTGGAGGTGGAGGGTGGTAGGAAGATTTCTTCTGGTCTTTTTTTTTTTTTTTAATTTTATTTATATAAGAACTGGGGTGCAGGCCAGAGGTGGCGGCAGGGTGAGAGGATTCACCAAGAACAGAGTGGGGTGCAGAACAGGCAGACTGACTGAAATACACTGCTGAGAGGAGCAGCAGGTGAGACAGGAGAGGTCTGCCACGCCATGTGGGTAGCTCCCTGGCCGGCTGGGAATTGAACCTGCGCTGCAGAGGCTGTGTATAGCTTCACAGCACTGCGCTCAACCTGCTGCGCCACTGGGGAGGCCCTCTTCTGGTCTTTTTTTAAGTTATCCTACTTGGAATATACCATCAAATTACTACATTTTGATGTCATTAGAAATAATTCCTTTCTGTGTATTTATATCACCAGCTACATGTACCATTAGGGTGACTGGTTATATATTAAGAGTTTGCCTTTTTTAAATTTAATTTTGTTTTATAATTTATATAAAATATCAGATTCTGTTAACCTATTTTCCTCCACCCAAATGCCCTATAGGTAACCATTTTTTAATTTTATATTTTATCCCAGTTCATTTTTAAATATAGGTCTTTTTTAAATTTATTTTTTAATTTTTTTAATTTTATATATATTTTTTACAACATTTTTCATTTTTGCACAATGTATGCATTTTCATCTTGGTTATAGTCCCCATACAATTCCCACACCCCCTTGTTTTGATCCTACTCCCTCCTCTCCCCCCCTGTAGTTTGTCTCTGGTTTATAGTTGCTTGTTAATTTTGATTTTTACTTTATTATAATTAATCTTTTTCCTGATTGATTAGTGAATGTGAGTTATTTGAATCAAATGTAGGCTTTTTTGAGTAAAACTATAGTTTTATCCTTTGAATTATCTTTTTCCCCCTTGTAAAACACAATTATTTTTAATCATAATGTGAAATATTTTGTATCTGAATAATCAGAATTACGATTTGCTTTATTAACATTCTGATTATTGTGATTATTTTGATATAACTTTTTCTGTATTGTAATTTTGTCATCACATTTTCTTAGACTTCAATTACAGGTGTTTAAGGAATACTTTTATCTTGAGCAACTTTAGGCTAGCATCATGTAGTTTCATAGCATATGAAATGGTTTATTAATAGTTAATATATTTTTCTTCTTGTTCGGAGTCATCAAGTCATTGCATCTTTCATTTCTCCGTTATCCTGGACACTGTTGTTTTCACTGGAATTATTGCAGTTGCACTGATTCTAACTATAATCATCTATTTTTCAGAGTAAGATACAGTGTATTTTTTTTAATCACACCTGGGTTTATATAGATGATGGAGACATATTAATTATAATATGTATGTGGGCCTCCCCCGTGGCGCAACGGTTGAGTGCTGGGTTGTGAAGCTGCCCACAGCCTCTGGGCGAGAGGGTCCCACATGGCGCGCAGACCTCTCCTACCGCCCGCTGCTCCCCTCAGCAGTGTACTTCAGTCCTTCTGCCTGCTCTGCTCCCCCCGCTCTGGCTCTGGTGAATTCTCTCACCCTCCCGTGCTTCTGACTATACCCAGTGCTTGTATAAATAGATAAACAAACAAAAAAGCAAACAAAAAAAAGTTCTCCTTTAAAAAAAAATTATAATATGTATGCTATATCCTCTGCTTCATAATAGTACAGCTCAATAATTTAGTGAAAATATGTGAATCCAATAATAACAATTTATTTTAATAAAAAAAGAATACAGTGTATATAAAGTCTTGAAAGGATGCAATTTGCAGTATTCCTTAAGAACGTTCTATTGTTGCCTTGGCATTTTCTTGTAAACCACTGATAGGTATTCTACAAGTTTTGATGTTGGTACTCTTTTGATCTGACCAGAATGTATCAACAAAAAATTTCTGACAACATCCAGGAAGACATTTTAAGCAACATTTACACTCAACATATTAGGTACCTCGTGCACATATGTCAGTTGGAATGAAAAAAATGTGAGTAGCTGTGATCAGGTTCACACAAAGAAAAATAGTGACAACTCTGTTGTGTTGGTCAGTATTCAAAAAGACATCATTGTCAGATCCATTAATTGTAGAAGATTTCAATGATACAAAAATGTTGGGGGTATAACATCTTACAATGGCTATATAATGAATAAGATTTCTGCCTCTGGAATTAAGAATTGTAATAAAATTAATGTGAGTAAATAATTGCATATGATTGATTTGAATAAATAAGTACGTTTTCAAGAGTTAGTGCATGATCAAAGAAGTATAGAGTTATTGCTCTGGGGAATAACAGAAAAAATAGGAAATGTTGAAGATAGAACATTAGGATTTCTGTATTTACAGATGGCTTTGCCAAGAAGAGAGAGGAAGTTTTTATTCCCTTGTAAATGACAATCTAGGTACATAGACAACTGGAAAATAGAGGCCATTTTCACAAATAGACTCAGTTCTTCCCTAAGTGTTAGCATGTTTTTTTCTGTTTTCACAGTTTTATCTAATAATAAAATGATAGTGTAATAATGAAACCATTATGTCAGAAATTAAGCAAAATATTTGGCAAGATACTGCATTTAACAGTTACATTAGTAACATTTATGTGCAAAAGTAATACTTCACCCTGTGTGGTTTTGACAAATTGAAATCTTTCAAAAAGGTTAAATTTGATAATGTCAATTTTTCCTTTTCATGCTGTTTATTCACACGTTAAAAAATGAGTCCATATTTGAATACTATGAAAATACTTAAGTTCTACCAAATTCTTCACACTGCACCTTAAGTTTACCATCTTAACTAAGTGTACATTTCAGTAGTGTTAGTATATTCACATTGTGCAACACATATCTAGATTTTTATCTTGCAATACTAAAGCCTACCCAATAAACACTAATATCCCCTTTTTGTCTCTCCCTCTCCCAACCACCTTTTAAAGCTATGCTGACTTTCTGGTTTTTAAAAATTCATATGTTGGATAAAATAATTTCATGATTAGTTTTCTTACAGTAAATAAGAAAATCAGGCACCTCCCTGGTGGCACAGGGAGTTACGTTTCAGTGCTATCAAGCAGTTGCCATCCACTGTGGACATGAGTTTGACCCTTGGCCAGGGAGCTAACCCACATGGTGCATCAGACCTCCAGCAGACTTCTCCTCTCTCGCCTGCTGCTCCCCACTCTGTCTCTGGTGAATCCTCTTATCCACCGCATCTCTGACCTGCACCCCAGTTCTTTTCTGTAAAAATAAATGAATCTTTTAAAAAAAAGGAAAATCAATATACAGTAAATTTGAATACTAAATATTTCACTTTTGCTGAAGAAGTCTCTTTGAAGTCTCTTTTTTAATCATGTTATTAATTTCTAATTTAAAGACAAAATTTTACTTAAAGATCATTTTTTTAAATGAATCATTTCCCTTTCTCAAATAATCTCTTTTATAATTTGATTATATTAAAACTTAGAATCTCAGGGCCTCCGCCGGTGGCGCAGCGGTTGAGCGCTGGGCTGCGAGGCTGCCCGCAGCCTCTGCAGCGCCGGTTCATTCCCCGGCCGCCAGCAAGGGTCCCACACAAAAAAAAAAACCTTATAATCTGAGACTATCAAAATTATCTTCCAAATTCAGTTAATAGTGAATAATTCTAACTCAAGTAGAATCCTGCTCATTTATCTAATATACCATATCCAAGGGCAACCAATAGCTTAATTAACAACTTTACACCTTTAGTTGGATTTTTTTTTTTAATTAACACTTAATGTAAACAATTTTGTTAAGGTGCATTTGAATCGTGTCTTGATTTTAAGATCTATATATTCAGAGTTATTTTCTCAATAAACCTGACAGTTTAACCATCAATACTTTGTGAAGAATACAGTCGTTCAATAGATGGCACCTCCTTATGTTGAACTCTGAGGAAATTCTTAACTGTTATTAAGGAAGTAAAGGCCTGCTTTTTTTTTTTTTTTTTTTTACCATGAAGCATTAAAAATAGTTGCCCATCTGAGAAACAGCCCAGTCTTTTGACTTTCAATTTGAAACTCCTGTGAAATTTACTTTTCTTTCTAAGAAATCTTAAAATAATTTTTCTCTAATTAGCAGTCCCATCAATTGCTTATAATACCCCAGGTTTTTGTTGTTGTTCTGAAGGAAATCTAGTCATCTGTTTTCACTAATTCAGTGCCCCTCAAAATGAATTTCTGGTATTCTGGGTGGTATGTATTTTGTTTTACATTACCTTAACATACTGCTTTCTAAATGTGATGATTTTGCATGATGTGGTAATGGAATTTTTTTTTTTTTAGACATTAGCTTATTTAAATGTGAGTTATTCTTTCAATTAAACCTCAAGTATTTTAAGTTAATGAATGTAACACAACTATTAGGACAGAGGTGGGGTCACACCCAAACTGTGCAGAATTTGAAAGTTAATGCTTTTCTTTTTAACACCCAAAAAGCCTTTGAATGACTTTCAAGATTATTCATAGTAGACAAATATTAAAGCCACGAATTTTATTTGCTTTTTTGAACATATTTCTGATATTTACATTTGTAAATGATCTTCTGGAGTGCAGGAGAGATAAATTATGCCCATGCATGTGTGTGTGTGTGTGTGTGTGTGTGTGTGTGTGTGTGTAAAAATACATATATACCAAACTTTGGACTTAAGGATTACTCTAGACTCTACTTCCTGCCAGTAGTTTTGGAACTTTAGGCTTGTTAGTTTCTCTTAACATCCTTCCTGTTTATATAAATTTTAAATTGTCTGTATTTGGCTTTGACCTGGTATTTCCTCAAGATTCTGCTTCCTATATGGCTTCCTCTTCTGCAAGCACTGCAATTACTCTGAAGTATTCCTTTTATTTTCAGTCTTTATAGCCTACGAATGATTTCTAATACCTAAGCAAAATAGAAGTATTTCCATGTAAATTTTCTTATTTATTGAGATATTGCTTAGCAAAATAATTAACTGCATGCACTCTTGCACAGTTTCTTATTTCATGTATTTTTTTTGCTCGATTCATTTATATATAGTATGAGTGTTCTTGTTTAGTTATATCTTGCACTTTTAAAAACTGAAACAAAGCTACCTCAAATCAAGTGTGACTTTTGTTATAGAAGTCCTATGAAGATTGTAAAAAATGAAACTATTATATGGAGAAAAATGTTTGCAACATACTGTAAATGTGAAACATCAGACTAAAAATGGTTTGGTTGCCAAATATATACATATATACAAAGTAAACTTACTGCAGAAAACTTGTATAACAAAAATTCCCCCTCCTCTCCCAAAAATCAACTAATAGAAAACTCTCCTAATCTTATCTTTTAGAGATAACCACTGTATTCTCTTGTCATTCTCTTTGTGTGTGTATCTATGTCTGTGCATGTGTAAAAGTCCACATACATACGTATAGTTAGATGGATAAAGGCCTTATTAAAACAAAGAATGGACAGACTTGACTTGATATAACCTTTAAAATTTAGCAAAATACTAAATTCTGTAAGAAAAGTTTTTTTGTTTCTTTTTTTTAATGCAGTGACAGACTTGGAAAATATTTGCAATGTATCTGTCAGTTGGAGGTAGGGAACAACTTAATTTTCTGTATATCATTAATTAGTATCATCATCATGCATCTACCACATTATATAAAGCAAGAACTTCAATTTATCCTAAACATCTTTCTGGGCGTCACTTCTCTTGTCTAACTGATCTCCTAGGTATCTCTAGAATTCATTAATTTCATCCAAATTCAAGCTTCCAGCATAATTTTTTTGTACTACTACAGAAACTCCTTAACTGTTCTCCTTATTTCCCTTCTTTCTCCTTTCTAATTTGTTTTTTGTACTGTACAAAACGATCTTTTTGAACACATGCCTGATTATGTAATCATCTTATCACACCCCTCCCCCCAAAAAAACCCAACACAATGACTTTTGGGCAGGGGTGGGGGTTGTGTGTATGTATGTGTGTCAGCGAGAGATCGAATCCTTTCCTAACCTCACTAAATTAGATTTTCCTGTTATTCAATCTTAGATAACAGAAAATTCTCTATCATAGGACTTAACAAAGTTTTACATTTATTTATGTGATTAATCCTTTCTAGATGATAAGCTCTTCAAGGGGAAAGTCCATGTTTGTTTTTGCTTACTCCCGGCATGTACCACAGCCCTAGATACACACTGGACACCTGTCTTAGTCATCTTTGACTTCTATAACAAAATAACACAGACTTGTATCTCTAACAAGATACTTGTGTTTTAATAGTTCTGCAGAGCAGAGATGTAAGATCAAGGTGCTAACTGTTTTGTCTGATGAGGGTCCTTCCCTGAATAAGAGGTGTCTACCATCTTGCTGTGTCCTCTAGATGGAAAGGCAGTGAACTCTTTAGTGTCTCTCTCGTTTATAAAAACACTAACCTCATCATAAGGACTCTAACCTCATGACCTTATTTAAACCGAATTATTTCCCTAAAGCCCAATTTTCTATCATTACATGGGGTTAGAGTTTCAACTTGAAATTGGGGCAGTGGGTGGGGAGTTACATGAATTTTTAATCCATAACAGTACACCATAACTATTTGTCGAATTAATGAACACATAAGAAGAACAATCAAAAGTTGTAAATAAGTTCCCAAAAGTGGAATTACAAATGCCAGTAAACACATCCAAGTATTTTCAACCTCATATCTAATCAGGAAATGCAAATTAAAATATTAAGATGTTTTATCCCCATCATTTTGGGAAATGTTTTAAGAATTGAGAATGTCAAGTGTCCATTAAAGAGCATATCTTTTAAAAAGGGGGTATTAAAGTATAATAAGATTATATTGTGGAATATTTTTCTGCTATTAAAAAGGAATTACCACATTCCAGTTCATTTAAGGTAACCCCATTAAATAAAGCAATCATATGAATTTTTGATTTATAAAAAGAACCTAAAAAGTGATTGTGTATGTTTATATATGTGTATAAATTTATTGCAAAGGCGCTGTAAAGATACTTGTCATAAGATTGAGAGTGCTTATCTCTAGAGAAGGAAGGTATGTGGTAGTAGAAAAAGTATAAAAGGGTCCTTTACAAAACAAAACAAAACATGAGAACAGGGGCACAGAGAAAAGGACCCATTCTTTACATGTAGAAAAGTAAAATCAGGAATGCCAAAAGATAATGGTTTATTCACGAACTATAAGAAATTTTGTATTGTTGGAGACTAAAGTGTGATATAGGAAGAGAACAGAATGAGACTGAAAAAGCAGGCAAAACCTTTGGTCGTGCTTGTTTTCTCCTAGTATGGGACAATCATTGAAAGATTTTCAGATTGGAAATTGGCTCTGGTCATGTTAACTAGATGACTCTAGGAGAGGTGCGATAGACATAATGAAAGAGATTCATAACTTTTTGTTTCTGGATCCCTTTGGCAGATTTGATAAAATCTGTGAATACTTTCTCAGAATTATGTTTTGGATGCATAAAATAAACTATAAAGTACAACAGAAGCCAAGTTATATTGGATTTCATTTATTAAAATATTAGGAAAAGACATCGCTAGTGTAGTTATTTCTTTAGTACCACATTAAATAAAACGACTAACAGTTGCTCTTACAATTAATTCAAAATAGAGATCAACATAAATATTTTAATGTATCTGAATACTGTTTGTGGACCTCAGGTTAAGAACTGTTGTTTATGGCATAAGACTGGCAATATCCTGAAGATCAGTTAGGAAGATCAGTTTAATTTACATTTTTTGTTAGTAAAGCAGTGTGTATACATTATAGAAAATTTGGGAAATAATAATTTAAAAAGAGGATTCTCAATGGTAGTTTTTTAACTTACATAATGCATATATTATCCTTGGGTTTTTTTGTTTGTTTGTTTTTTTGTTTTATGTGTTTGATTTTTGCCTCAAGGGACATTTTTATTTTTAATAATATCTTTGGTTTTTATTGTTGTTCTTATGTGGATGCTTTCTGTATTGTCTATACATGTAGTCTTAATTCACTGATATCATTGCTTACCTGTCTTTTAATTTACAGATTTTTGATTGGGCAGGGAGCACATGTAGGAGCTGTCAACAGTGAAGGAGATACACCTTTACATATTGCTGAAGAGGAAGCAATGGAAGAGTTACTTCAAAATGAAGTTAATCGACAAGGTAATATAAAAACATCTAAAAGGAAAAATAAGTTTAAAACTGTTATAGAAAGTGTCTGATATTTAACTTTTTCAATATAATTGCTGACATCAAAGTCCAATCATAATTTGAGTGGGAAAAAATTAAGCTTAAAGTTGAAAGAGGTATCATAAGTGGTCAGATCAAACATAAAATTGTTTCATAATAAGAACTTTGGAGATCAAACTAAGTACACAGGTGAATGTGCAAATTTAAAGAGTGGTCAACAAATCCTCACTGTTAATTGATATTTAAGATTAGATCTGAATGAGGTGAGGGAACGAATTTTGTGCATTTGAGGAAATAACTTTCTAGACAGAGGGAACAACACGTGCAAGAATGGGATGGATGCCTGAAGTTTTCAGAGAAGCAGCAAGTTGACCAATGTGACTGGATAAGCAGAAAAAGGAAGAGACTGGAAGATGAGGTCACAAAAGTAACAGGGGACCATATCACATAAGGACATGTGGGCCACTGGAAGGACTTCGGCATTTAATTTGTATGAAATAGGGAGCCAGTGAAATAATTGACATGGAGATATATGATCTGACTTAATTTTAGAGTGACTTTTTGTTGAGAGTAGGTGGTAGGAAGGTAAAGGGATGAGTAACAAGCATGGCAAGAACAGAAGTAGGCAAGTGGTAAGGTGATGAGAGGAAGTTGAATTTTAAATGTACTTTGAAGAACTGACCAAGAGGATATTGAGTTATAAATGTAAGGTGTGCCATAAAGGAGGAAAATTTTTTTCCTAAGATTTTTGGTCTGAACAACTGAATGGATGAAGTTTCTATTTGAGATACGAATATTGTGGAGAAAGTAGATTTTATAGAGAAAATGGATTCATTTCCAGACATGTTTGTTTTGTTTATTAGATATCCAAGCAATTAAACGAGTGAGTCAAGAGAGAGGTGCAAGTTGGAGCTGTAAATTTGGGAGATGTCAGTTTATAGATGGGTAGTGATTGCCTATGGGTAGAGCTTCTTTTATGAGTAGTAAATGTTCTAATATTGATTGTGTTAATTTTTGCCTAACTTGGTGAATTTACTGAAAACCCACCAAATTGTGAACCCTAAATGGTATATGAATCATATCTTGATAGAGCTGTTATTTCAAATATATAACAGTTAATATATAATTATAATATAATATATGATATTATAATACAATTAATATATACTATTACCCAGCATTTCTTCTTTGGTTATACATCTAAAGAATTAAAAGCAAGGTTTCAAGGAGGTATTTGTACAACCATGTTATACCACTGTTATTCCCAGTTATCCAAAGATGGAGGTGAATTAAGTGTCCCTCAACAGATAAATGGGTAAACAGAATGTGGTGCATACATACAATGAAGTATTATTCAACATTAAGAAGGAAATTCTGGCACATACCACATCATGGATGAACCTTGAGGATATTAGGCTAAGTGAAATCAGCCAGTCACAAAAAAGACATATACTGTAAGATTCTACTTATGTGAAATATCTCCATTAAAATTCATAGAGAATGTGGAATGATGGCTGTCAGGAGCCTGCGAGGAGGTGATTGGGAACTTGTTGATGGCTGTGGTATTTGGTTTTGCGAGATGAAAAGCATTCTCAAGTTGAGTTGCACAACAGAGTAAATGTACTTAACATTACTGAGCTATATACTTTAAAATTGTTATTGAGATGGTAAATTTTATGTTGTGTATTTTACTACAATTAAAATTTTTTTAAACATTATGTGATTTCCACTAGATTTCATTATGGGAAGATAGTGAATAAATAGGGTATTAATGAGAAGTGAGCATGTTTTACTAAGATTAAAAGATAAAATGTGTGGGATATTGATTTAGGGAGTTGACTCCTGCTGAAGTGTGGATTATTAGAAAAAGAGGTAAAAGAATAGAAGTTAAATAAATCCCTTGAAAAGAGGGTTTTATTCCTTGAGGTTGTGGAAATTCAAAATGAATACTCAGTTGTTAAAAAAAAAACCAGTCTTAGGCATTAAAACTGAGTAAATATTTAAATACCTAAAGAGAATTGAGGCATTATAACAAGTGATTGAAGGCTGAAGGTATCTGGAGCACAGGAAAAATAGGGCCCACACTAGAAAAGCAGTTATAAACTGATGCATAGAAGAGCTTTTAACAGCTATATTTTAGGCAGGGATTTTGGAGGAATGGGATCTTTAACACTTGAGGAAACTGGAAGAATAGATAGAAAGCATTGCAGCCTAAAAAGAAGAGTACCTTATCTACCCATCTTGCTCTGATGAGTGCCCAGCTAAGTTTCCTATTAAATAGTTGTAATTCTTTAAAAGAAATCTTTATATACTGCTGTTTAATATTGGCAGTTATATGAATTAAGAAAGGCATGGAGATATACTGAAAACTCCTTTCCTTTGGTTTCCTTGTATATAAACTCTTAGCAAGACTGTTTTTTGTTTTTTGTTTTTTTTGTTTTGTTTTTTTAAGATTTATTTATTTATTTATACAAGCACTGGGTACAGTCAGAAGCGCGGGCGGGTGAGAGAATTCACTAGAGCCAGAGCCGGGAGCAGAGCAGGCAGAAGGACTGAAGTACACTGCTGAGGGGAGCAGCGGGCAGCAGGAGAGGTCTGCACGCCACGTGGGACCCTCCTCCGGTGGCCAGGGAGCAGCCCGGGATCCAACTGGCGCTGCAGAGGCTGCGGGCAGCTTCACAACCCAGTGCTCAACTGCTGCGCCACCGGGGAGGCCCAGCAAGGCTGATTTTGATTGTAATGTAATGATGATTCATTCCGTATTGATTAATATTCAGCAACTGTTCAGAGCTCTGTATTTGAAGGGGGAAAAAGACAATCTTTGTTCTTAAGGATTTCACAGAAGTGGCAAATATATAAACAGACTTAACAATGCTGTGTGCTAAAATATAGGTAGGGACAGAATGTTGTAAGAGCAGAAATGACTATGACTAACCGCTTGCCATAGTACAATGAGGCTTTTAGGGTTTTTATTATTTTTAGTGAACTAAAACAAGAGTCTGTAAGAAATTTCTCTTCACATATACTTTAAACTTGAGTAATTTTGATTTTATATATAATTATATATGAGCACAATTTGAAGGCAAAAGAGGGTAATTGCTTTGCATTTAGAGTTCGCATGAAATTATATAAACCTAAAAGTAAGAAGTAGGTATTTTTTTATTTCTAATCCAAAGGAAATTTAAAATAGTAAAAGACACTAGAAGTAGGCATGCTAAAGATGGTAAAAACAAATGAGGATAAAGATAATAGAGAAGTTTATGTTTTAAGAGACATAATAGAAGAATAAAGCATATAAATAAATAAGTCTGAGAAAAATCATATAGTAAAAAGGTTATTCTAATGTAATATAATAACAGTTTTATAATTTCTTTTCTGAGTAACGTTAGACATCTTATTTTTTAATTTTTATTTTATTTTTATATTCCCCATACAATTACAACCCCCTTATTTTGACCCCAATCCCTCCTTTCCCCGCCCCCCCCCCCAGAGTGTCTCTGATTCATAGTTGTTTGTTGATTTTGATATTTTCTTTCTTATAGTTATTCTTTTTCCTGGTCCCTTATTTAAGTTTTCTAGATTCCTGCTATGAGTGAGACCATCCGGTATTTTTCTTTTTCTTTCTGGCTTATTTCGCTGAGCATGATCCCTTCCAGCTCCATCCATGTTGCTGCACATTGCATGTGTTTATCTTTTTTGAATGCTGAGTAATATTCCATGGTGTATATGTACCACATCTTCTTGATCCAGTCATCTATTTTTGGGCATTTGGGTTGTTTCCAAAGCTTAGCTATTGTAAACAGTGCTGCTATAAACATAGGGGTGCAGGTGCTCTTTGGAATTGATATTTCTGTGTCCTTTGGGTAAATACCTAGGAGTGGAATTGCTGGATCATATGGAAGCTCTATGATCCAGAAGGTTCAGAAATCTCCACACAGCTCTCCGTAGTGGTTGAACCAGTTTGCACTCCCACCAACAGTGCAGGAGAGTTCCATTTTTCTACACAACCTCACCAACATTTGTTGTTGCTAGTTTTTTTAATATGTGCCATTCTCACTGGTGTGAGATGGTATCTCATTGTAGTTTTGATTTGCATTTCCCTGATTACAAGTGATGTTGAACATTTTTTCATATGCCTGTTGGCCATTTGCATTTCCTCTTCAGAGAAGTTTCTTTTTAGCTCTTCTGCCCATTTTTTGACTGGATTTTTTTCTTTGTTTTTGTTGAGTCTCATCAGTTCTTTGTAGATTTTTGTGATCAGTCCTTTATCTTTAGTGTTGTGTGCAAAAATGTTCTCCCAGTTGGTGGGGTTTCTCTTTGTTTTTGTTATTGTCTCTTTTGCTGTGCAGAAGCTCTTTAATTTGATGTAGTCCCAGCTGTTTATCTTTGCCTTCACTATCACTGCTTTGGGTGATATGTCTGTAGAGAGACATCTTTTTTTTTTTTTTTAAGATTTATTTATGTATGCTTATTAGAGCTGGGGTACAGGCCAGAGGTGTGGGAGGTGAGTGGATTTACTAGAGACAGAATGGGGAACAGAACAGGCGGATTGACTTCTTAAATAAGGTGGACTGGTTATCTTTTGGTAGACAATTTTTGATATATAAAAGTTTTATAGAAATGGTGATGCTTTTTAAACCAGAGATATGCTATGGGGCGGGGGGGAAGGAGGGATTGGGGTCAAAATAAGGGGGGTGCAATTGTATGGGGAATATAAAAATAAAAAAAAGAAAGAAATGGTGATTCTTTTAAAATATAGTTTATAATAGGTTTTTATTATTTGCGGTATATAATTGTTTTTACAAAGTCTGCTTGGAAAATTATATTACAAATTTCTTTCAGATTTCATAATGAGAAATTATGATCTCTAGTTTGTAGATGACTTTAGTTGTACTTGTGTAACCTTAGGGTTTAAAAACATTTTTCAAGTAGCTCTCCTCCCAGGACTGCATACTTGTGACTAATCAGGTGTTTCTTTTCACAAATCTTTTCTCTGGAAAATAGCAGTAACAGCTCCAGCGCTCAGCCCACCTGTGTCTATGCAAGTGCCTCCTTTTCTCCTTTTCCTAATAAACCTGTCCTTTTAAAATGTAAAAAATAAAAAATACACTTTTTTCTAATTATGGTCTTTTTTTTAATTTTTATATTACTTTATTTCCTTACCTCATTGTAGTTCTCCCCTCACTTTATCACCTGTGAACCATCACCATTTTCCATTCCCGCCTCTATCTTGCCCACACTTTCACCCATTCCTTTGCTGTATGCCTCAGTCTATGGTCACCTTACTAGTTTTGATTTTTTCTTCACCTTTTGCTTGGTTTCTCTCTATTCCACATGAGTGAGACGATCCAGTATTTATCTTTTTCCTTCTGACTAATATCAGCTAGCATAATTCCTTCCAGTTCCATCCACGTTGCCACAAACAGCATGAGTTTGTCTTTTTAGATTGCTGAGTAATACTCCATTGTATAAACACACCACAACTTTTTGATCCATTCTTCTATTTTGGGGAAACACTGATGCTAAAGGAAACTTGCATTCCTCTGTTTATAGTCTGTTTTTTAAGTTATGCTTCAATTGAACAGTTTGTTTCTACAATGTTAATTTGTTAAGCAACAAAGATTAGGACACAATATAGGTAGAGAATAATAGGTCACACAACAGCACAGACATATGATCCATTTGAGGACCTACATGCAGATCTAGGTGATTAGAATACTGTGGGATAGAGGAGAAAGAGTAAAGTTTAAAAATGCATTGAGACCAAATCTTTAAAGGTTTTATTTGCTATACTAAAGATTGAAATTTGTCTTAACAGAAAGTAGGTGACCATGGACAAATTTATGTAGAAAAGAGATGATCATATTTTGATACAGAAAAAGAACCATCTGACAGTGATGTGGGGAATGAATCTGATGGGACTGAAACTGAACAAGTGGTAGTGAAAGTGTGAGACAACTACAGTGGTTGATAGCAGGCTCGGAAATAGAACTCAAAATCTGGTATATGGATGGGAATTTGAGTTAAAGTAAAGGGAGTAATCCAGATGACTTTCAGCTGGTTGGGTAAGTAGTAGAAAGGAAATATAAGAGCATCATCAAGTAGATTTGCTGGGAAAAAAATGATTTAGGATTTCAGTACTGAATTAAGGATCATCAGGGTATGCATTCATTATTTCTCTAGTTTTCTCTGTCCTAGGCTCAGACATCCACTTGATATCTCCAGTTAGATGTCTTGCTAGAGTATCTCAAACTTTAAATTTTCCAAAATTGAAATTTTAATTTTTATAATTGCTCAAGCTAAGAATCTTTGATTTTCTTTGACTTCTCTTTTTCTCCTACATTGAAATTGTTGCTGTGCCTTGAAAAAATCCAGAATCAATTTCGTTGCTACCTACCATCCTGCTTCAGGTTGCCATCACTTCTTGCCTGGATTATTGCAGTAGCCTCTTAATACTTTAGTTTCTACTCTTTAATTTTTCAACTTAACTGATCCTCTTTAATTATTACCCTGCTCATTGTCCTCATTACCTGTAGACTCCTTGCCTCCTTCTAAAGAGAAGAACATTCCACACTTCTAACTCAGTGTCTGCTAGTTTTTCCCTGTGTCTAAAATATCTGAAATTGTGACTGTAACTCACTTTATTTCTGTCTCTAATGTCACCATACCAATCTATATAAAATAGCAACTCTTTTTTATTACCCTCTGTCCCTTTTACCCTTGTTTATTTGTTTCTTCACAGACATATCTTCTACATATAAGAAGTTTGCTTCTATATCAGTAGCACCTAATAAAGTACCTGACATATATCAGGTACTTTGTACATAATGAAAGGATGAACAACTGAATGAATAAATGAAAAAAACCCTGACCAGACAGTTGAGTACATAAAAATGAATTATACGAGAGCTCTTAGCTGACGGGCGTGTGTGTGTGTGTAACTGTTTTTTACTCTTATTTCTTCATTCTCATTCTTTTAGTAAACATTCACTGATCCCTTTTATTTTGTGTCAGGTGTTCATCCAGACAGTCCAGATGCAAGATTAAAAAAAAAAAAGTGTCTTTACCTTTAATAAGCTCAGCACCCTCCAGAGTAAGACAGATTATAAATGCATGGAGTATGTACTATTTATTTAATAACCAGCAACTGAAGCCATAAGACAACATGAGCTCATTCAGGAATTTTAGGGTTATCTTTTCTACTTCACAATTTTTCTCGATGTTGCGCTCTTTCACCATAAGAATTAATGTCCTATTCCTTTCTGAGTTTCCCCTACGCATCACTTCCTAGCACATAGTACCAAATAAATGCTTTAAATGAACAGTCATCTATATAATTTGTAAAAGTTATAACACTAATATTAATTGTAACAACAGTGTACTATGTTGGAAAAAGTAAGGAAGTTTGGTACAGAAATAATCTGTTTTAAGGTCTCTTAATTTTAGTTTAAGGCAGGACCTCTAGGTTGAAGTGTTCAGTGAACATTCATACCTACTAAGCTAGAGTTCAGACAACTGGTTAACTAATAGAAATTGGAGACTTCATTAAAAATGTGTTGTTTTTAAACTTCCTTTTCAGAACCAAGGGTTTATGTTCCTTGGAAAATAATAAAAAGTTTTAAAACAAGAAGAATAATGAGAAAAATAAGAAAGCCAAAAGACTAATGTGGGACAAGACTACAACAAAATAATCAATCAAGAATAAAGTAGCGGGGCCTCCCCAGTGGCGCAGCGGTTGAGCGCTGGGTTGCGAAGCTGCCCGCCACCTCTGCGGCACCGGTTCGATTCCCGGCTGCTCCCCGGCCACCGGAGGAGGGTCCCACATGGCGCGCAGACCTCTCCTGCCGCCCGCTGCTCCCCTCGGCAGTGTACTTCGGTCCTTCTGCCTGCTCTGCTCCCCGCTCTGGCTCTGGTGAATTCTCTCACCCTCCCGTGCTTCTGACTGTACCCAGTGCATGTATAAACAAAAAACAAAACAAACAAACAAATAAGTAAAGAAATAAGACATGCCTCTAGAAAATTAAAAAAAAAAAAGACAAAAAAAAAAAGAATAAAGTAGCTACAGTATCTCACATTTCTTTATTTAACTATCTTGGTATAAGCCCATTTAATTTTCATTTAAACCTGAAATGCTCTGGATAATTTTATTTTTCTAACATAGAAAGAACATTTTCTACAAAGAAAGGATAAAAATGACTATTTTCATTTCATCAGGCGTTGATATAGAAGCAGCTCGGAAGGAAGAAGAACGGATAATGCTAAGAGATGCAAGACAATGGCTAAATAGTGGTCATATAAATGATGTACGACATGCAAAATCTGGAGGCACAGCACTTCATGTTGCAGCTGCAAAAGGCTATACAGAAGTTTTAAAGTAAGTATTTTTCAGTCATTTTGGTTTTCTACTTTGATTTATTTTCCTATAATTCATTGCTCCTTAAGATATATGCAAACATTATTTTGAAACTGCTCATCAAAGTTATTTAATGTCTTTCATGGGAAGAGAAAACTATTTTGAATATTACTGCTTTGTTTCTAAAGTTCTTTCTTTCACTCTGGAATTTTGATTATTATACTGTTGATTTCTTCAGTTGCAATTTTCTGGAAAGTTAAATTTCAGTGCCAGATAATCTTTATATGTTAACCCCTGGGTTAAGAGGTTATTAGAGTCATTTTTGAGGTTCCCAGATTGACTAACTCTGATTTCTATGACTAAGAATAATGTTTATATATAAGCATACCATCAACTTCTGAGAACTTGATTCATACTGAATATTTATTCACATGTAATTTATCTAAAATATGGGTTTGTTTTTTTTAACTGCATGAACATTGAAACACAGAGTGCTAATAGCATAATATTAAATATTAAGCTATATGCAACTTAGACTTTATAGGGCCATATCTTGATCAGTACATTTCCTTGGAACAAAGTTCCTTTATGTCACATTAAGTTTTTGCTTTGGGGTTGGTGTTTTTTTTTGTTTTTTTTTTTTTTTTTTTTTTTTTTTTTTCCTTCTTCTTGTACGATGCAAAGTTGTGTCAACTTTTGGGGGGGGAAATTCAGTGCATAACTTGTTATTTATATGTGAAAGAAAATAATAGTGGCCCTCAATAAAATCTACAGCATTTGGATTTTATGTTGCTTTTGTTGCATTTGGGCTTTTATCAATTTGTTCTCTTTATTCCCTCTCTTCAGTAAAAATAATGAAGATGTTTTAAGTGGGCCAACTATTCCCAAATTCCTCCTGTTTTCAGTCCCTACTTTCTTAAATAACTTTAGCCTTTTTCTAGAATAGCATAGCTAGCATTTGATTAACTTTCTTGTCCTCCATCTGTTTCTAATCCAAAGCTTTTCAAACTTTCAGACCCCATTAGCAAGTCATGAAATGAACTTAGTAAGTTGCCAGCAGAATTTCTTTTAAGAATTGAAAATATCAAAAAGTATTAAATATGGTAAAGGTAAATACTATTCCTTAAAACTCTTAATTCTGTAAACATATGTATGAGTACTGGATTGCACTGTAAAATAGGAATGTACACTGCTTCCAGGTGGTCTTTATAATTAGGGTGGGTATTCAGTCTCTTAAAATCCTTCATTAAGATTCTCAATGGGGAGTAAGGATAAATTATAAATTCCTCCTTAACTTAAGACACACAGCCATTCATCATCTGACCACTGACTCCTCTTTTAAGCTAAGCTTAAAATGCATTGCTCCTCAGGTATACATGATTCCAGCTGTATATACATCTACTTAAAGTTCTGTCATGATGTCTTAATGCCTACTCTTGTTTCTGTCTAGATACCTTCATTCACCATCTCTTCAACTTGGAGGCAAATTCCTTTTGATTCTTTGACTCAGTTCAAGGCTCTTAAGCCTGTGAAAAAAATGTTCAACCTCATTCATAATAAGTGCAGATAAAGCTACAATGAATTACCATTTTTCATCTATCATGCTGGCAAAGATCAAAACATTTCACACACTGTGTTTACAAAGAGGGGAAAAAGCACTTTCTTATTATTTCTGGTGGAAGTGTAAATGGTAATTGAGCAAATTTCATCAAAATAGCAGTTATTCTTTGGCTTAGCCATTCTACCTCTAGGATTATTTTTTTTGCAGATATTCTCTCACATAGGAAATAAGGTATGTGCTGGCAGCTTTGTTTACAATAGTAGAAGAATAGTTGAATAACTTATGATATATCCTTTCACTAGAGTACTCTAGCAATTAAAATAATAAGGAAAGGCCATGAAGATGTGTCAAGCCATTATGTCAAAACCAAGGACAGAAGTATGCATCATTTGTATTTATTTTTAAATATTTTAATTGAATTTGCTCATCTCTGTATAAACTCTTTAAGGATCCAATCAAATTTAATAATATTTACCTATGGAGAGGAGAAACTGGTTGGCTAACAGCAGTATGCGAGTGCCTTGCATATATTACCATTGGTCTCTTTTAATTTTGAACTTTAGGAATATGTTGCATATGAAAATATATATGAAATGAAACTTAAATAGAGGGATCTGTTTGAAATATAAATGACTTCCCCACTTAGCTTCTTCTCCACACATACAAAAACACCTTTATTTTCAATTGATTTTTATGCTTTTCAGCTCTATACTCTCCATTGCCTCTTCACTACAGAACCTGTTTGTGAGGGTTGATTTTTTTTTTTTTTTACTTGACTTTTGTCCTTCATTAGAAGTTCTTTGAATACAATAACTATTATCTTTTTTTTTTTTTTTTTTGATGAGTATCTGCGTAACCTGCCTTATAGAGAGAGCCATGTTTGTGTGGCAGAAAACGTATCTTCCTTCCTGACTCTTCCCTCCTCCTCCCACAGACTCCGAAGTACTTACAATTTTTATGTTGTTCAGGATATTTAACATTGCAGTGGTTCATATTTTCTAATGGAAGATATATTTTTATTACCTTATTTCTGTTTCTTAATAAAATTTCTGATACATACCCATTAATGGGCATAGTTTTAGAATTTGAAACTGGACTTGTATCTGTTACTTAGTCTTTAGATCTGCAATTCTTAAATGACTCTGCAGACAGACGAAAGAAAGTAATATGAGAATGATGCAGGAGTCTTTTTAAAACTATAGATTGGCCAGGCCAATCTCACAATATGCTGCCTAATTCAGTAGGACTAGGGTGGAGCTGAGGACTTTTTTTTTTTTTTAACAAACTTTTCACATGGTTCTGTTTTGGAGCCATAATTGGAAATAGCTACCTTTTAGTTAGGAACTAGGGGAATCAGATCTTGAAACATAAATAAATGAAGGGTTATATATTAGTTATCACTACCACCTCCTGTAGGTAAAAAGAAGCCCTTCTCAAGCTCAACATCTTGGAAAGTAAGGTAAAGGTCAACTAGATTTCATGAGTTGTGAAGTATTTAGTGTTCGCCTGTGTGTGTGTAGCTATGCTATGTGCAATTTATAAACCTATCTTTTGCTCTCTGTGAGCTTAATTTCTAAATAAAATAAAGGTTGATCTCAATATATAAACAGAAGACCATACTAACTCTTCGCATTGTGTTAAAATTCCTGTTTTCTAGCTCTGTTGATGATTGGAATTCTGCTTCTTACTGCTGCAGAAAACTTGACTTGAATCCCTGGGATATTTGTTTGGCTTTGTTTTGTTCCTAACAGTGAGATTGTCATTTTTCTCTGAAAATTTCCTAAGATAGCTCTTGAAGGCTTGTGACAGCTTTCACAAACCACTTCTCAAATGCAAGGCAACAGAAACACTAGAAAATAACCTTGTTTGTATATTTTTAGAGCCCATTTAGCCTAATCATAGGGATACCTGAGTTCATTCCCTGTAATAAAACAGTTTAACATAAAATCTTTTTATCTCACATAGAAAAATTATAGGCTTTCCTGTGAAAACTTCAATTTCAAGTCATATTAACAAGAATTAGTATTATACCAAACCATGTAGAAATTAATTAAAGCTTATTATGCATTATTATGGTAGTAACTCTTTGTCAGTGTTTTCTTAGGATTGCTTTCTTTTCCCCCCATTTGTTAATTTAGGGGGTAGGGGAAATTGAACTATGAAAAGAAATGTATTGCAAATTTTTGTTAACTTGCATGGTATAAAGCTATTATGTTTGCTCAGTTTTAGATTTAATAGATTATGTTTCTAAGTCACCATTTCTTCTTTAGACTTTTAATACAGGCAGGCTATGATGTTAATATTAAAGATTATGATGGCTGGACCCCTCTACATGCTGCAGCTCATTGGGGAAAAGAAGAAGCCTGTCGAATTTTGGTGGACAATCTGTGTGATATGGAGATGGTCAACAAAGTGGTAGGTTTTTAAAATGTATTTAAATATTTTAACTTGTAGAAATATAATTTTAGTCTCAAAGATGTTATGTAAATATGAATTATGTACTTGTTAAGTTTTGTGAACCATACAAAGAAACATTTGTCAACCATTTATTGACTTTTAATTGTTGTTTAAGTCTTTTTCAACTACCTATGAGTTAATTTTGCAAAACCTTGTTCTACAAAGAACTATTACTCTTCCAATAATCATATTACCATGCATGTAGAGTTAATTTGGTTACTTCTGTTGATACCATTTTCTTAGGAATTCATAAAGAACATTTTGCATTTCTATCTGAGTGTTTTCTCCCATTACTCTACTTATGAGTTGTAACACATATGACAGTATGTTTCTGATCTTAGCTGACAATCTTACTAGCTTTTTTATAGTTGTTTTTTAAGTGACATGGAAAGTGGGGTCTTATATTATGTGAAGATAGTAAAAACCATACAATTTTAAGTAAAATAAGATCACTGAGATGTGATATCTAGTTTCCTGGTTTTGCATATAAGAAAGTAGTTTAGTGAGGTAAATGATTTACTTAATATCATTCCCATTAAGTAAAGGGAAGAGAGGAGCAAATGTCATTATTTTTCAAAAATCGTGAACAGATTCAGATTACCAAATTTATTAGGTTTTTCTCTGCTCCCTTTGCAAGCACCATCAGGACAGGTAGTTTCCAGCGTCACCAATATTCCTACTAGTTCCCTCCCACTCTATTTTGGCAGTAAATGGTAAGATGGGAACAATTGCAGAGTACAAAACATTTCTCCTATAGTGAGCTTAATTACCCTTAACTTTCATTGAATATTTCTTATGTATTGCATTTAATAGGGTAATGTGGTCAATTATTTATCAGAGATTGCTGAAATGATCTTGTCTTTGTTCATATAGCTCAATTTAACTTTATTGTGTCCATTAACATGAGTGCTGGTGTTCATTACCATGGTAATTGCATTCTCTAATTGGGGATTTGCAGAGGAAAGAGAGTAAATATACTATAACAAATACCCAAGATTTTCCCATGGGTAAGTGGTTAGAGATGAGGGTAAAAAATGTAGATTCATGTCTAGTTGCTGACATTAAAAAAGAAATCCTTTGAACTCCTTTGTTCTTTCTGGAATATTTCATGTATGTATTTGAGATAAGAAATGTTATATAGGCAAGAAGATCATAGAAAGTAGTAAAAATCTTCAGGAAAGTTAGGATTAAAATATGTTTAACAGAGGTTCCAAAGGCTCCACCTGAACCTGTCATTCCCCAGACCCCAAATGGCAGGGATCCAAAGTGGCCAGAGACCTCCAGTCTTGTGCGCACCCAGACAGTACCTGCCAAGACCGGCAGAAGCCTCATGTCCTCTGATAGGACCCTACCAAGACCCGCCTGGACCTACAAGGCCTAGTGACTTCCTTTGATATCCCACTAGCATCCACACAGATGGTGAGACCCCAGACCGACATCAGGGAGTGAGCTAGATTTGCCACAAGTCCCTGACCTCCTGTGAGACCCTGCACTGGTTTGCCCTCATAGGTGAGAACCCTGATCAATGAGTGGGAAGGAGATACACTCAGAGGATATCCTGCATACGATAGCTAGGTTCCACACCTAATAATGGACAGAAGGAAAAATCCAACAAATGGCAACATTAGTACCCAAGAAATAAGAGATTAGTAAAACAGAGAGAGAACAAATACCCAGAACCCCAAGTCATAGACATGGAAACTAGTCTCCCTGTCAGATACAGAGTTCAGAATTGCAGTGATAAAGATATTCAAAGAAATGGAAGGAAACTCAGAAAACAAATGAATGTCCTTAGAGATGAAATCAATGAACTGAAGACAGAAAATGAAACTCTAAATAACAAAAATGGAGTTTAAGGATTTCAAAGGAGAAATAAAGAAGGTGAAAACCTTAAGAGAACGTTGCAGAAGTAGAATAGATTGAGTAGAACAACAAATTAGTGTAATTGAAGATGCAGATGTACAGTGAATCCAGGTAGATAAGGAAAGAGAGAAATGAAATTTTAAAAATGAAGAAACACTCCAAGAACTATCCAACCCCATGAGAAAAGGCAACATAAAAATAATAGGGATACTATAGGGGAAAGAGAAAGGAACAGAAAATGTATTTAAAGAAATAATGAAGGACAACTCCCCAAATCTATGCAAGGAAATAAATGTACAATTACAATCCAAAAGTACCCCTGCATACATGAATAAAACAAGATTGTCAACAAGTTATATAATAGTGAAATTTCTGAAACTCAGGATAAAGAAAGATTACTGAAGCTGGCAAGGGGGAGGAAGCAGACAACATACATATATAAGTACCCTGATCAGGCTAACATCAGATTTTTCTGCAGAAACACTACCACTGAGGAGAGAATGGAATGGTGTGTTCTGAATACTTAAAGATACTTAATCTTAACTGTCAGCCAAGAATAGTTTATTCTGCAAGGTTCACCATCATAAATGATGGAAGAATAAAGGCCTTTTCAGACATAGAGAAACTCAAAAAGTTTTTGCAGACAATAAACCACCCCTCCAAGAAATGTTGAAAGGAATTTACACATTGAAACTGAAAGAGGGACATACTCAAGGAACTAAGTGAGGTAGACCCTCTCAAATTAAGAATAAAATGGCAGCGATGGACTATCATATAACAGTAATCACCTTAAATGTAAATGGACTGAACTCATCCATAAAAGGCATAGAATATCTAGCTGGACCAAGAAACAGAACCCAACCTTCTACTGTCTCCAGGAGACAGACCTAACTCCAGGCAAACAAAAACTCAAAGGGTCAGAAAAGAAATGTATAAAAATGTATTTAAGATGTTTTTAAGTTTAGATTATTTCCTGACTAATTGAAAATGTAATTGGGGAAATGTATATTATAGACACTTGAAAGTCTGCATGAAAGTGGGAAACATGTTCTAAAAATATTTTAAGGGCCTCCATAGTGGTGCAGGGATTAAGTCTCAGAGCTATCAAGCTGTTGCCAGCCTCTGCGGCATGAGTTGGATCCCCAGCCAGGGAGTTCACACACATGGCGCAGCCGACCTCTACTGTCTTGCCCACTGCTCCCCTCAGCAGTGTGTTTCAGTCAATCCGCCTTTTCTGTTCGCCACTCTTGTCTCTGGTGTATCCTCTCACCTTACACACTGGCTTATACCCCAGTTCTTGTATGCATAAATAAATAAATCTTAAAAAAATAAAATATTTTAAAATTTTGGTCTTATTTCTTTAACTTATTTGCTATCCTTAAAACACATTAACTGCCACTTTAATTCATAATAAATTAAGTGATAAGATTTTAAATATAAAATTTTAAATTTTGTTTCCTTAATAATTAAAAGAATTGTTTTACAAAAACATGCCCATAGCTAAATACTCTAAGTTTGTGTTTTCTCTTAATGCAGTTTTACAATAATTAGTAGGTAACTTTTTAATATGGTAACTGCCATTATAAAAAGTTAAATAAGCAATAAGGCTGCTTTCCCTACTAGTAGACAAAAAGCACACGTTTTTCTGAATTCTATCTGAATTTTTCTTTCTATAAAGACAATGGTGAAAAGGAACCAGAATCTAGTTGCATTTTCCCATTATTACTTGCGTGACTTAGGGCATCTGCCAAGCACATCCTAGGGCAAATACCATGTGCTCAGAGCCTGGGTTTGCTCATCTGCATAATGGGAATCATAATACTACTTGTCTTGACCACTTCACTGGTTAGTGTGAAAATGAAGAGACTTGGAATAAGTAAGGAAAAAAAGAAAGCTGAGACTGTGAAGTTAAACTTCAACACTCTGATAATTTATATGTTTATCGATCTGATTAGACTGATCTTCTGTAGTAATTTTTTTGAAGATTGTTTTCTTATTGGTATAGTTCTTATTTTTTCATAGCATTTTGTCCTCCTCAGTTGTTACTTGGTTGCTTTAAATGACTGTTTATATGTCTTACTGTGTTTATTGTCCACTGATGAAGCATATGTAGCCTGATAATAGTTAAGAATCAGATTTGCAATCTATGTTTGTAATCTTACACTTGGTGAGTTTAAAGAGCATGGTTAAGTTATTGTGTTTTATTGATGTGCCTATAGCCTACATTTTACTTTAGTTTTTAATTCTTTATCAAGTGCTGTCTGCAAAGTAGGCTCATTTACCAAGGGAGAAGTGAAAAGAAGGGTTAGTAAGGTGATTAAATTTGTGATTCTTATAAAGGAAAATTCCTTGGACACCAAATAACCCACTGTATTTTATTGCTGCTACAATTTCATTAAAAAAAAATTCCATTCGTGAGAAGGGTTGAGAATGCCTATGGGAATACATGATCATGAGCATAATTTGCTTAAGAAGTCTAGAATGTATAACCTTATAGAACTAGTTCTACAAAGAGTGCATGATATAGCAAAACTGGGATTAACATATACTGTTAATATGAAGGACACTTACAAATTTTGAGGTTGTTATTTTGTTTTGGAGCCATCTTTTCATTAGAAACTTAATTACTAGCATTTAATATTGAAAGTTGAAAAGGAAAGAAAAGTTTAAAAGAAGCTAAAACTTTTTTCTTGACCTAAATGGGAAAGGATAGACTACCTCATACATTTCTATTTGGAAGATTTTTCTAACAAGAAATGGTGTTTTGAATCTTATAAAATTTTAAATAACACATATTCCCCTATCTTGATAAAACATCTTATGTGCATTTAAAATATGCTTTCATTGGGCATCCCTGGTGGCACAGGGGTTAAAGTCTCAGCACTATCAACCTATCACCAGCCACAGAGGCATGAGTTTGATCCCTGGCCAAGGAGCTAACCCACATGGCACAGCAGACCTCTCCTGTCTCGCCCACTGCTCCCCTTACCAGTGTATTTCAGTCAGTCTGCCTGTTCTGTTCCCCACTCTGTCTCTGGTAAATCCTCTCACCCCCGGCACTTCTGGCCTGACCCCAGTTATTGTGTGCTTAAATAAATACAATAAATCTTCAAAAAAAAAAAAGAAAATATATTTTCATAGACCATATCTTTTATAAGCAGACCATGGAAAAACTAGCTCAGATTGGGGACTTTGTATTTCATTTTATAATGTTGAGAAACGTAGTTCATTTCCAAGCAGATGTCAGCATCCTGACATTAGTATAGAATTGAGGGTTTTGGTTTTGTTTGTTTTTAAATGGAAGAATATGTGATTTTAATGTGATTATTACCTACTCACCTGATTTATTTATGGATATGGGATTCCTTTTATGAAAGAAATTTGAAAATTCTTTCAGAATTACATATTTTCCATTTTAAAAAATTTGATTTTTTTCCTGAGAAAAAATCATATACTGGCTAACGTGGAATCTAGTCTAAATAATTAATGCACATAGCAGGAAAGTCCTTACTATGTTTGGTCAACAACTCTTTGAAATTTTCTACATTGAATAAAAATGGATTGACATGTTCATCAGGATGAATTTTTGGAACTAAAATATACCTGTGGCTGGCTGATATACAATAAGATTAGAAATAAATATTTTTTTTTTTTTTATAGAGGCATGTTATTTATTTATTTGTTTGTTTGTTTGTTTTGTTTATACATGCACTGGGTACAGTCAGAAGCGCGGGAGGGTGAGAGAATTCACCAGAGCCAGAGCGGGGTGCAGAGCAGGCAGAAGGACTGAAGCACACTGCTGAGGGGAGCAGCGGGCGGCAGGAGAGGTCTGTGCGCCATGTGGGACCCTCCTCTGGTGGCCGGGGAGCAGCCGGGGATCGAACCGGCACCGCAGAGGCCGCGGGCAGCTTCGCAACCCAGCGCTCAACTGCTGCGCCACCGGGGAGGCCCAGAAATAAATATTTTTGTTTACTAAGCTTTTAATTTTTATGGAGGTATCAAAAAGATAAAGCTTTCAAAATGTAAAACATGGAGCTATCATATGCCCTAGTAATTCCATTCAATACTGTATACCCAAGGAAATGAGAACAGATATCCAACAAAAACTTGTACTATAAATGTTCACAGCAATATTGTCATTATACATAGCCAGAGAGCAAAAGCAGATGCCCATTGACTAAGGTAAAGATTAGCAAAATGTGAAATATCATGCAATGGAATACTATTCAGTAATAAATAGGAATGAAGTATGATTCATGCTATACAGCAGTGGTGAATCTTGAACACATTGTGCAAAATAAAAAAAAAAAAAAAAGGCAGTCACAAAGGACCACAGATTGTGTGATTCCATTTATATGAAATGTCCAGAATAGGAGAATTTATGGTTACAGAAAATAGATTTGTGATTACCTCAGGCTGGGAGCAGGCATTGGAAAAATGGAGAAAAGAGTGTGTCTTTTTTGGGGGAGTATGAAAATGTTCTAAAATTGATTATGATGATGGTTATGAGATTGACTAAACTGGGCCTCCCCGGTGGCACAGCGGGTTGAACGCAGCGCTGTGAAGCTGTCCGCAGCCTCTGCAGTGCTGGTTCGATTCCTGGCCGGCCAGGGAGATTCCCACATGGTGAGGCAGACCTCTCCTGTCTTCACCTGCTGCTCCCCTCAGCAGTGTACTTTGGTGCTTCTGCCTGTTCTGCTCCCTGCTCTGTCTGGTGAATTCTCTCACCCTCCCGAGCTTCTGGCCTGTACCCCCCAGCACTTGTATAAATAAATAAATCTTTAAAAAAAAAAGATTGACTATATTAAAAATTACTGAATTGTACATTTAAAATTGGTTACTATATCACAAGCTATTACAAAAAAAGTAAAGGAAGGGCAGGTGTGTCAGCTGCTTCTCTCTCATACATATTTCTCATACATCTCCTTCAAGTCACATGTACTGTTCTGTAACTACCATGAAAAATGTTCATCTAATTTCTTTCTATATCAGCATACTGAATCACCAAAAGCATGTTATAATTTACTGATTTTACCATCTCCACCCACTTGCTTCCTACCTAGGGCCAGACAGCCTTCGATGTAGCAGATGAAGACATTTTAGGATATTTAGAAGAGTTGCAAAAGAAACAAAATCTGGTATGTTTGATGATGATCTAAAAATAGTCTATATTAGTGAATTCTGTTCATAGCCTTGAATTTCAGCTAGTTACAGAAGTATTCTTGTAATGTTTTGTGTTTTAAGTTATAACTAGCAATCAAACTGAATCACAGTGAAGGAGAACAAAGGAGTGGGTGGTTTAGCCCCATTTCTCTAACCTCCCCTTTACAAAATGATTACTTCTATAATGTATATGTTCCCCAGAATAACATGTTTTTATAATTTCATAAGAAAGTTTGAAGGAAAAATGTTTTCTTAGAGGGTGGACACTAAAACATCTCAGATTTCAAATAGCATGTCCTAAATGAACAAGGGGTCATTTACCAGGAAACAATTTTTTATGATGGTAAAAATCCCATCAGACATCTTAGGTGGCTAATTAACCCTGACTTTTTCAGTGAACTAAAGTTGGAAGAATCTAAAAAATCCAGGTTAGTCCTACATGGAACTTTTAATCTCCTTAGTCCTTTTTATTCTTTATCTACACCCTTTTCTTTTTATGTAAAATTGAAATGTTTGATTTGTTTTGTTTAGTGTTTGGAAAACTATTTTGTTGTTATTTTAAATTCTATAGCTTACTCATTATTTTAATAGCATTCTTGTTTTCTTTTGCGCTTTTATGAAGCTCCATAGTGAAAAACGGGAGAAGAAATCTCCACTAATTGAATCAACCGCCAATATGGACAATAATCAGTCACAGAAGACCTTTAAAAAGTAAGTAAAATATTAAAGTAGGTTTTGTTAATGTTATGAATGAGTTGATATGTTGACCACAGACATCATTATTAGGTTTTGTTGATCTGGGAAAAATTAATGTATTTTGATCCTTTGTATTTATAATCATTTGAAAGCCGTTTTTCTTTCACAGCAAAGAGACATTGATTATTGAGCCAGAGAAAAATGCATCCCGTATTGAGTCTCTGGAACAAGAAAAGGCTGATGAGGAAGAAGAAGGAAAGAAAGATGAATCAAGCTGCTCTAGTGAAGAAGATGAGGAAGATGATTCAGAATCAGAAGCTGAAACAGGTAAAAGTTGAAGTATAAAGGGATTTTCATTGACTTTTAATGCAGAATAAAGATAATCTTTTATATTGAAACCTTTCACACTGATATGCTACTTGTTCAGATGCCTGCCAAACCAGTGAGTATTAGAGTTTTTTATACTCTAATTACCTGGAGACTCTTGTTCACCTCTATGTTAAACTGACTCATATTCTTAGGTTTGAAAAAGGGGAAGAAGCATAAGATAATAAATGGGTTCATAGCAATTCAAGAATGTTCCTGCTACTTTAAGAGACTCAACAGTTCAGGAACCTCATCAAGTAGCTTCCCAAATATAACCTTGGATATAGTGAAGTTTTAGAAAGTCAAGGCTGAGTTGAGAAATTTTCCTGTGAAGATACTAGGAAATTTGCTCTGTTTTGAAAAATTTTAAGGGTAAAGAAAAGTGGGAGAAACTTTCCTATTCTAAGTACCTAAACTTAACAGCTATAACAGCTTGGCATTTAGCTATATTTGCTTTAAATTTTTTTTTTAATAAAATTAAAACATTACAAGTGTCTGTTTTAACTGTGAACCCTAGTCCACTTTCCTTTCCTTCCTTCCTAAAGGTGATCATTATCTGAGTTTTTGCTATGATATTGGAATCCATTTTTTTGTACTGTTACATGTACATTCAGAAGTAATATACAGTAGTTTTAAGGTGGTTTTATGTATTTTCTATTTCCATTTTTTTGTACTGTTACATGTATATTCAGAAGTAATATACAGTAGTTTTAAGGTGGTTTTATGTATTTTCTATTCTATGGGTTAATTATGCAGCTTGTTTTTTTCTCTCAAAAGTTACACATTACTTTTGTTCATACCTAGCTATAACTTTATCTATGTAGCCTACCCTTTTAGCTGTTGTGTAGTATTCCATTAAATACATGTTTCTTTTAGATAAAAATTGACCTATCCCCATTTTTTTGTTATTGCAAGTAATGCCACAACAATGATCATTTATATAATTGCCTCCTTGTATATACATGCAAAGGATTCTCTGATGGATGTACTTAGACTGAATTATTAAGATATATTTTTAATTTCTATGGATGCTGCCCAATTCCTTTTCAAAGTCAGTATAACAATTTACATTCTTTTGTTTTCTTACTATCAGGGGTATGGTTTCTGCATTTTTCCTTTGGTCCACATGTTCTAATAGATCTTATATACCAAATTGCTTTTATTGAATAGTATTTATTTTCTTATTCTGGATCTGTTATACACTGAAAACTCTTGAACTCCATGAGATTCAAGTATTGCCATCTTTGAGTTGTACAACTTGGTATTTGAAGATAAATTTATTTGAAAAAATTATTCAATTTCCATTAAGGTTTTTGATCAATAAAGAAAGTCTCATTAAGCACTCTGTGATTTCACTCATAGTGTGCTATATAGAGAAAACATACAGATGACCTAAATAAAGCAAAGTGAAGAATTAGACTGTAAGAAGTATTAGTGGTTACCAGAGAAAAGAGTAAAGAAGGGTGGATAAATCTGGGCAAGAGACAACACTATTGTAAAGGACAGAATTAGACATTTAGTGGTGAAGTTAATGTTGTTAGTGGCAACAACTGTTTCTCTTTCAGTGGGAATGGAATGGAAGGGATATCTGACATGTCCAGTGTAAGTTGTAGATAGAGAATGTAATTGATCTAATAACTTACTCTTGGTCAACATTTTATAAAGTAAAAAATGAAAAATAAGTTTAACAGTTTTATAGTATGAGCTTGTGATTTATGCTTATTGTAAGTGGAAATCAGAACTGTTTTAAATGTAAGGGTCAGTATTTTTTAACAGAAACATTCATATATATAGTTGAACTATAACTTAAAGAATTTTCAGCTTTTCTCAAGTTACATTGTAGAATGTGCTTAAGCAGTAAGTATATTTAGGTTAAAACAGGTGAATTATGTTAAATGTTGATTTTATACCACCTTTCATTTATCACTGGATGCATGTTGAAAGATAATACTTATTTGGTAAAACTCAATATGGGATCTGTGTTTACAACTGAAAGTGAAACATTTGGCAAAAATAAATTTTTTTTTTAATTTTAAAGAATTTTACAAAAGTAGTTTGTCCAAATTTGGACATGAACTTATATAAGAACTAGGGATAATTTTTAGAAAGCAAATCTATCAGATTATTGGGGTTTGGTTTTAAAAAAAGAAGAAGAAAATAAAAGGACAGAGGAACCAGTTTGAATGGCCTCCCATTGATTGAAGATGGGATAGTTTGAGCGTCAGTAGTGACTGATGAATTGAAACATCAAACATAAAAATGCACATGTTCGCAATGTTACTTAAAACAGTAACTCGTTATTCGGCAGTTTCCTATAGCATCAACTTGTTATTCTGAAAATTAGTAAAGAGTGACATTTATCTTTCCTTTCCAAATTTAATATTTAATTAAAATTGTTCTATACTGAGTTAAACAAATTAACTATAAAAAGCACTATTTAAATAATCAGAGAAAAATGAACAATAATTGGTTATTAGTTGATCTTAAGAAATTCTTGTCAATTTTGTTAGATATGATCATGTTATTGTGTTTTTAAAGGTTCTTTTGTGTTAGTCATAGATATGAAAATAGTTGTAGGTAAAAAACTACCTTCCTTATTATGCCAATTTGGTGTTTGTTAGTAAACAAATCTGGAGCCCTAAAATTTCATAAATTTCCTGGTATTTCCTCTACACAACAATACTTTTAACTCATTTTATATTTACTCAGCAGAATATTCCTTCTAAGATATTGTAAGAAGCTAACATTTACTGAATACATACATGTTAAGGAACATACTCAGAATTCTCTTCCCATTAAAAACAAGATACTGCTGAACAAATACAAATTAACTTTATAGCCCAGGTGGTATCATTTGGAGTCCTTTATTTTCTTGAAGCTTAGTAATCCTACAATTACATTATTTTTCTTTAAAACACAGAGTTTGTGAGATACATAAATGACTATGTTATCTGGATAGTTCTTTAAATTCTACTTTTCTATAAATATAAACAAAACTATTTACCATCAAGTTACATTGTTTTATAGTTCCCAGTTTGAAGTTTTAAGTACAACCAGTTACACTCTGCTCATTTTCTCACTGAGCTAACTTTAAATGTTCTCTGAAGCATTGTACTATGATAATTTTGTTCTTCCTGTGCTAGTGGTTGGTTGTGCCAGGAAAATTTGACTCTATCTTAAGAATTAACCCATGTAAATTCTGTGTGGTTCCTTCTCTCACTCTTTTAATATCGACAATGCTTTATCATACTTTATTTGGCAAACTTGAGAAGCAGCTATTTCCCTACTTTTGACAATTTCTAAACTTTATTTTTTCTACTTTTTCTGACATTATTTCCTTGGAAAATGGACAAATCTTTGTTGAATTTTCTTTAATAATTTATTGACCAAACCAATTTTTTTATCAGTGTTCTTTCTCATAAAGTTGAAACTAGGAATTCAATTAAAAACTTTGTTTGTTAAGTGGTTTATAAATTTGAGAGGCAGCTGAGGAAATGAGAGAGGAAGCTTATTTTCCCTTTTAGAAGAATGAAATTTCATTCTTCATTGAAATCACATAGACAGAAGGGCTTCAGCAGCATTGATGTTTATTTTAATGATTTGAATGTAAATGCATGGAGTTTATCTCATTATTCTCAAAGGAAACATGTTTACGTACATGCATATACATTCTTTAAAAGCAAAATTTTAAACCAAATGTAAAGGGGGGGAATGAAAAAAAAAAAGAAACCTGTTCAATTTTATCTCCTTTGTTGTTTCTCTTGTTAGATTGTAAGCTCTATGCAGTTAGAATACTTTGTTCTTTTATTGACAGATACATCCCTAGTATCTAGAACAGTGCTTAGAGTGTAAAGACATTTAGTAAATATTTGTTGAATTTTTTTCCCACGCTAAGTGGATTGTTTTCCAGGAAGGTAGACTAACCAGGTTATACATAATTTGTACTTAACTATGCTGAATAGATTTATTTCCTGTTAAATAAAGAGATATTACTTAACAGTAGGAATAAAGTTGTTATAATGAGTTTATCTTATTCAGTTTATTTGAACAGCTATGGTTATATTCATGTTTTAAGTTAGTTTTTTTTAATTGAAGTACCATTGACTTACATCCTTGTAAGTATTTTGAAAGTTTAGGTTCTCCCTTTTCAGGTGTAGTATGGATATTTTCTTAGTCACAAGTAGAACTGAACAAATCATTGCAAGTTCAAAATTGTTGATGGAAAGTTTATTCTTGCCCTTTATAATTTAATATTGTCTATTTATAAAGCATGACAGCATAATTAGTAACAAGGTAGAAGATTGCTTTGGAAAACTGACCTAAAGGAGGGAGAGGTAATATATTATGAAAATTGGTATCTCATAGTGCCTTTTTTCCCCCTCCAATTTATTCATTGTTATTGAAGTATGATTGATTTATATCCTTCCTAGTGTTCTGAGAATATAGGATTTCCCCTCTCAGGTGTAGTCACCATAGCAGTCCCACCACCACCTAATCACTCATAGTCCTCCACCATAATCCATGTGCTCTTCACCCCACCCCCAATCTCCCTATTGTTACCCATCCCTCTCCCTTTTCTGAGTGCTGCAGATACTCAAAAGTTTTAAAGCATTCTTCTGAGGAATCTTCACACTTAATCCAAAGAGCATAAAACACTGTTTACAATAGCCAAGATATGGAAACCACGTAAGTGCCCCAGAACTGATTAATGGGTTAAGATATGGTATGTAGACACAGTGGAATACTATTCAACAATCAAAAAAGGTGTAAACTCATCCCATTTGCAACAATGTGGATAGAACTGGAAGGGATTATTCTAAGTGAACTGAGCTAGGAGGAGAAAGATAAATACTAGAAGGTTTCACTTATATGTGGCAAAAGGAGAAGCCAAAGGATCAGACAAACTGTAAGACTGACCCCTGAAAGCCAAAGATATGAGACACACAGAAGGAGAGGGGAGGAGGGGGGAAGAGTGGGGAAAAGTAGAGAACATGGTATGGGAGGAGTGTGGTTGTGAGAAACTATGGTGGCTGCATCTTATATTGTGAAAAAATAAACAAGAAAATTTAAAAATAAACAAAAAGCATGCTTCTTTCCACAAGTATAGAATACCTGTCCTATTATGAAACCAAAAGAATGCTTTAAAACTAGATAAAGTTACATTTGACTATATTTGGAAACTAAACATTTCTGCCCATTTAGAAATTATAGTTAAAGATTTAAATTGATATGCCTTATTTTGCTAAAAGCCAGTCTGATTTATGTATTCAGAGTCTTCAGATTTTTTGTAGCATCAGGACGATTTTTCTAATAGTTTTATATTTTTCTCCTAGATTATTACTAATTGGAAATTGTGTTCATATATTTTGAGAAGAGATTTAACCTGACTGAACCTATACTATGCCCATTTAACTTAGAATTTTTAGGGATGAGAATGCATGCTCTTTGTGACATTTGAGCATACTGCTTGAGAGGACTATAAGCTGATTATTGACATAAAGCACTTTTAGATATTTTGGAATAAATAGGTTCTGTCAGATTTAGATAAGTATTATAAGTTGTTTATCCATTTGAAAATTGCATAACACTTGGGCCTCTTTGGTGGTGCAGGCGGTTGAGCACAGTGCTGTGAAGCTGTACAGCCTCTGCGGCGTGGGTTTGAACAGTCTACCTGTTCTGTTCCCCACTCTGTCTCTAGTGAATCGTCTCACCCTCCCACACATCTGGCCTATACCCCTGTTCTAGTATGAATAAATAAATCTTTTAAAAAAAAAAAGAAAATTGGGTAACACGTGTGGTAGTTTTAGTTGCATTGTTTTTATGCAGGTTTTAAATATTTTTTGTTTTCATTTCAGGTTTTAAATTTTTTTTTTTAATTATGTTTCCATAATGTTAGAAGTATAAAAGTCAGATTGGCTTGTGCTTTTCCTTCTCAGAAGCTTTGTTTTATGACTTCATGCTATTTTACTTAGTTCATCACGTTATGCTGAAGTAATATTGTTTAGAAACTCCTTCAAAAATTTGTTTAAAAGACTAATAGTAGGGAAACATTGTGAATTAACAAAACCTTAAATATAAGTAGAATGCAAAACACTATTTTCCCAGTCAGTGAAACCAAATTCATACAGAATGTTGACTTTCAATTCTTTTTTTTTTTTTTCTTTCTTTCTAATAGATAAGACGAAACCCATGGCTTCTGTAACTAATGCCAATACTTCTAGTACACAAGCAGCTCCCATAGCTGTTACAACACCTACTGTGTCATCTGGTCAGGCAACACCTACATCACCTGTTAAAAAGGTAAGCCAACATTATTTTTGCGGAAAATACGTATATTTTGTTTAAGTGTGATTTGGACTAGAGCAGTAAAATAGTTCTAATTTTTTATCATTTATTTAAAAAGTATTGAAGGTTTTAAAATGAGGTTTCCCCTGAATTCTGTATTCTTTTTTTTCAAACACTTTTTGTTGTCAATAATTGCAAATTGATCTCTAAGAAAAATAAATGTTGGAAAATTTTTCATCTAAAAGCTAATGATCACAGTAGTTTATATTTCTGTTAAACTGTTCAGAAACTCAATTTTAAATCCTCATCTATGTTAAGTAAAAAGTACACTGTGATGATTTTACATGAGGTAAGTTCAGCCCAAAAGTACCATCACAAATCAATGAGAAAACTAGAATCTAGAATTTTTAACTCAATACAAATCCCCAGATAAGCACACAATTGTGGTATACCAGTAAGAGCATCCTCTCTGTTCTCAGACAAGCCAGAGATCTACACTTGACCCTACATTTTGTTAGTTGATGTGACCCTATCTTCTGTATTTGTCAAAAAAGAAATAGTGTAAGCATTTATTGGCTAGTAATTGAAGCCCTCCCAAAATACCAGTTTAATTCCTTCCCCTTCTCTCTCACTCTATTCTCCATTTTTCCTCCACCCTTCTTACTTTCTTTGTATCACCAAAAAGTGTTTTCCAACTAGTGTATTGATGTTTTACAAACTACTTTTCCACACTGGTGTCAATCTGTTCTTTTAACCCAAATTAAAGATGTAAGGGTTCAGTTTTGTTTATACAAATTAGTCACCTTTGAAAGGCTTCTGTCCACTAGTTCATATTTGTCTTTAATAATCATACTCGTGTCTCTCTCTGTACAGCACTCACAGGTGAATTTTTTTTTTTTGTCAAATCATTCAAGAGTTTATTGCAATCATTATAATACTTTACCACTAATTACTCCAGTATGTATCTACTACATATGAAGGCATTACACTTCATTTCCACAGAGTAAAATTACCATATATAGGAAATTTATATCTGCTATACTGTATTCTGACCACAGTCAAAAGTTTCTCTAATTTCCTTCTAGTAATATTTTTATAACTTTTTAAAGTCAAAATTCAACTCATGGATTGCACATTGTGTTTAGTCATCATGTCTCAGCATTTGAACGTCTTACTTTGTTGCCTTTCTGACATTTGCATGGGTTTGAGGACTTAATATCTCCAAAGTCTTGTTAATCTTTGGATTTGGCCCCAAGTAGTCAAAATGTGAATCTTTTAAAATCATAAACTAGAGAATGTAGTAATTATCCTCTAAATCTTTTCCCAATGAATGTAATAATGTAAATTCTTAGTGGCAGAAATGTATGGATTTCACTAGTACACAATTTTAAGTATTAAGAATGTGTGTGAAAGTGTTACCTCTGTATTCTAGAACTAAGAACTTCTTGAATTCAGTTAGACTCCATGTTCATATGATCACAATGATGATATATGCTTAAAAATGAAACTCTCTAAAAGCAGTCTCTGCAGATTTTTTTAAGATTACTATTATAACTGGTGTCACCATGAGCTGCTTTAACTAAAGTTCATTTAATCATTTAACTATGATCTTTTATATATATATATATTAGCTTTTTTGATTTACTGTGTTGCACCTATAGGATTATCAGAAGTGTCCAAAAGCTCCATCCTCCTAAAATACCTGGCCAGGAAACTGGCTCTCTGTCTGTTTGTGTATTTAACAAAGCAGTTTTTTTCCCCAATGTCAGTCAAATAATTACTATAGACTTATTTATTATCATCAATTATATTTTCCTCAAGCAAGCTCCAAATTTATGGCTATTTACTTCTCAGTTTTTGCCAACTACAAATTACTAAGCAGATACTTAATAACAGATTAGTGGGATAATAACCTCTTTACTATAAAAATTCTCATTCAGATATACTTAAGATTCTATAAATTGATCTAATGACAATACTTGGTAATTTGGGTATTTAGAAACTGTTTTATTCTCTATTTCAAAGCATCATAACTCATGTGGGTTACTTTGTTTTCAGTCTTTGTTCTTAACATGGTGTAGCAAAATTTTATTCCAAGCAATAAAGTAGGTCATGTACAAAAAATTTACTTTTAATGGATGGAGCAACCTTCTTGTCAGTACAGAATGATTTTTAAAACTTGTTATTCTGGTCAATAATTTTAGTGGTTTTTATTTGTTTCAAGACTTTTCCTGTAACTTTTACAGACTTAACAGATTTTTAGATTTCCCTAGCTGAATTGTTAATTTGTGAATGCATCTTAAAGATTTTGACATTAAGATTTAGATTTTTAAATTCCCACTCAATGCTTCTAAATATCTGGACAAATTATCTCAAATTCTGTGGCTTCCTCTACCAATATGTACATATACGTACTCAGATGGCATGGAATAGACCATTAAAAAGGGAAACTCCATAACAGTTTTACCCATTCTATCATATTTCAAAGTAACTATAGAGACCATACATGTATTTACTTTAAATGATCTCCCATTAATTATTAACTAAAATTAAAGAAGTATTTGTGTAGCAATGAGACCAGGCACATGTGGGGAGATCTATAAAACCATCACTTTGATTTTATGCTTTAACATGTTAATGATAAGTTTATATAACTCTAGTAAAACTAACTACTGTTGAGATCTCTGAAAGATTACCTATTCTGCTCTATGCACATAAATTGCTGTTAGTATAATATACTTACTGGATGGTATAAATCTGTGATTTTCTTGAGTTAGTATTCTGGTTAATTAAATCCAATTACTAAGTGTAATAATTTAAGAAAAGACCGCTATATGCTATGGGTATATGAAGGATACCAATAGAAGTGTACAGAGGATGGTTTGAAAGGGGTGACATCATATTTAATTTGAGGTAATGGAATTAGAACATTTAAGATAGATTTTGAAGAATGAGTAGGTGATATTTAAACTGACAGAGGGTTTGTACAGTTTCTTGAAAAGGATAGAAGAAAAGTATTATGAGCAAAATAGGAACAATGTGGAACATTTTACAGGAAAAATTAAATTGTCTGGTTTGATTGATTTATAAGGTTGTACACACACATCTCTCTCTCTCTCTCTCTCTCTCTCTCTCTCTCTCTCTCTCTCTCTCCCTCTCATCCTCCTAAAATACCTGGCCAGGAAACTGGCTCTCTGTCTGTTTGTGTATTTAACAAAGCAGTTTTTTTCCCCAATGTCAGTCAAATAATTACTATAGACTTATTTATTATCATCAATTATATTTTCCTCAAGCAGACACAAAGTAAATCAAGAAAAGTAGAGCCAAACTGTGTAATGTCTTTATTCCCTATGGTAACATTTTGTAATTTGTTAGTAGAGAATCATAGAAAATATTTGAACATGTCCATGAGAAAATTATTCATACAATATTATTCCAGCAGCAATATACAGGGTGTATATCAAGGTGAGAGAGAGATTGAAAGGTTTATTAGAAAGTCTTTTTTTTTTTTTTTCCTTTAAGATTTATTTATTTTATACAAGAACTGGGGTACAGGCCAGATGCATGGGAGGGTGAGAGGATTCACCAGAGACAGAATGGGGAATAGAACAGGCAGTCTGACAAAATAGACTGCTGAGGGGAGCAGCGGGCGAGGCAGGAGAGGTCTGCTTCGCCATGTGGGATTCTCGCCGGCCAGCCGGGGTCAAACCCGTGCTGCAGAGGCTGTGGATAGCTTCACAGTGCGGTGCTCAACCACCTGTGCCACCAGGGAAGCCCTAGAAAGTCTTTATTAAAGTTTCCCAGACTGATAAAGATATAAACTAGAGAAATGACAGTGTTCTTACAATAGAGAGGAGATTTTAAGACTTGGTACCTAAATTATAGATGATGGAAGATGACAGAAGAAGTATAACATGATAATGAAGTTTTAAACATGGGGATTGAAGAGACTGTTGGTACCCTTAACAGAAATAGGGAACTGAGGAATAGTTGGTTTGGAGGACATGATGAGTTTCAGATTCTATATGTTCTAGATACTTCATATTACAAGTTAACAGAAATTCAGGACTGGGAATTTAGGAATCAGACTCAACCTAAGAGTAACAAATTTTGAGAGTAAGCTGCATACAAAAAATATTTAGCCTGAAGAAATACAGAGGACTCTATTCCCAACTCTTCTCAGGAGAACAAAGTGGGAAGAGACAGTGGGAGATGTGATAACAGACGTGCTTATGTTGCAGAGTTGTGGCAAGGAAAGTTGTTAGCAACACAAAACCCAGGAAAGGAAGTATTCAGAACAGTAGGAAATTCAAGATCATGTGCTATTACAAAAAAATCAAGAGTTTCAGAGAATGGGATTGGTTGAATATTTCAGAGATGCTCATTTTATACATTGAGTAAAATTGAAGGTAGCTTTTAGACATATGAACCAGTACTTACATCCACAATCATATTAAGGCAGAGTGGAGGTTATCAGTCATTATAATCCAATAAATGTCCATTTCAGAAGTGATACTACTGTATTTTTTCTCAATTCCAAAATAATCCTCTAACTAGTGTATTTTGTTGAACGTTTTTAGAGATTGAGAGAACTCAGTTGAAGCACCTAGTTTAGGACTTGATACTAGTAAACGTGTTAGTTTCTGTTCGAACATGCTTCAGATGTTATTTGCTATCTGTTTTATAATCATGGAGGATGAATGCAAAAAGGTAACTCATGAGTTAAGGTGAATTTAACATTTTTAAATATTGGGGAAAAAATAAAAAAGTGATTGAAATATAAATTCATATTTCTCTATCTCTACATAAAGTTTTATTTGATCAAGCCACAGTCAACTTTGTATTACTTTTTGTGCCACAAGAGCATAGATGAGTAGTTAGAATAGAGACTTAATCATTTGCAAAACCTAAAATTTACAATCCTGCCCTTTATAGAAGTTTGCCAACTCCTGTTCTAGAGTACTGTGACACTTTAAACTCAGAAAGTAATAATTACGGTTCCCAAACTCTCAGCTAAAGGACACCTATTTGTTTCATTTATAAAGTAAAGTGCAAATAAGTTAATGTTGGTTTATGCTGTGTCCAACAGATGTCACTGTGCTTCTCTCAACACTAAAATATCCCACAACCCCTCTGTAATTTTGTTCTGGCGCCCGATAATGCGTAAGTGCACGTATTGGGAACTGTGGAATGCTGTATATCATGTGTCTGTACTAGACCTTTTTGAAAGGAATGAATTACTGGAGGTACTAGGGGTATTTTATAGCAATTTTGTCTATGAAGTAGTCTTCTGACATCATGGATGCTTAACAAGCTCCATTAATCTCAGTTTAGCAAACTTTAGCAATAAACATGAAAAAAAGACTTTAAAAAAATTATCAGTATTCTGTCGCAACTAGTTACTTGCTGTATTCATCCATCTATATTTAATTGTGGCGAATATTTTAACTCTTTAAGTAGATGAAGTGAAACTGTTTAAATAAAAAAGATGTCCCATTTTTAAAGCTGTTGGAAAGACCTGAATATGGAATAAATATCTGTATCAAACATACTTGTAAATTGAAATGTTAATGATTGATGAGAAAATAAATTTAAGGCTATGGTATTAAAACTATTATTGAATTAAATACACTTAGGAACTTATCAGTTTTTACCTCTTGTTGATTATGTTGGATTTAAAATTTTTTAACAATTATATAAATGAATAAAAATAAAATTCAAGTGCAGTGGTTTGTTCTTTCACATACTATATTATTTGCTCTGTGTGCCTTTAACTGCTTTAGAAGTTACTTTATTAGAGTTAGATTTTTTCATGAAAGAACTGAACATGTAATGGATGACTTTTTGAGATTGAATCATTACCCAAGTATTGGGTTTTAATTTGTTATAAAATTCTCTTAAAAATAAAAAAGTGGTCTTTGCTCTTAACTTCCCTTTTCTGTTTTCATGCTTTCAATCTTTATCTCTTTACCTGTCTTATTTTAATTGACTTTAGTATGATTTCATTGCTCCTCTCATGCCTGTGGTGGAATCAGTAGATCCTGCATCATGGAGGCAGGGCTTGCGCAAAACTGGCATTGTTCTTGTGCCCAATAAGGGTGAAAAATATATGGTGAGGCATTTATATGTGCAAGGATTTATATTAGGTTTCAACATAACAAGTTTAATATAAACATTGGTTCCAAATATGCATGGTTTTTAAGTCATTTATTGTGTGCTTATTGCTCTTTGTATTTGCATTATAATTTTTCTGTGTGATATGAAGTGTGGAGTGTGTTTTCTTAAATCTAACTTCTTCTGGAAAGGTAATTCGTTCCTTTTTCAGATATAGCTCTTTAGATTTTGGACTAAGACATTAACCTGCTTAGTAAAAGTCTTTTCTCCTGAACCATTAACTATAGTGTTAGACATTATCTGTACACTTCTCATTTTCAGCTTATGAACTGGTCAGTCTTGATAATTCTTTTTTCTTTTCCTTAAAAAATAAAACAAAAAGTTTCCAACCTCGGCTACAAAAGTTTCTCCTAAAGAGGAAGAGAGAAAAGACGAGTCACCTGCATCATGGAGGTTAGGGCTTAGAAAAACTGGCAGCTATGGTGCACTGGCAGAAATCACAGCATCTAAAGAGGCCCAGAAAGAAAAAGACACAGCAGGTGTTATGCGTTCAGCTTCAAGCCCCAGACTTTCCTCTTCTTTGGATAATAAAGAAAAGGTAATCTATTTCACAGTCTGGTTTCTAAAAAACTAATAATTTGTTTTCCAGCAACACCAAACCTGGTACATTTTCTACTCTTGTCATTAAATCTGGTGCATTTTCTACTCATCATTAAATCTGTGTGTCAACCTAATTCTCCTGATACAGTGAATCACCTCGTAAAATGCAAATATAACCACATTAAACTAATGTAGTTCTTGAATTATAAGTATTGGAGAGATCAGATATATTCACCCAAAAAATAAATTGAGACAATCTTCAAAGAAATCCTTAATTTTATGTGAAAATTTGTAATAAAATGTATTGATATTAAGACAAAAAACTTATTGAAAGAATTTCAAAGCTTGGGAACACATTCTAGACTGTGATTATACTCACAGTTTGCATTTATCTAACATATGCAATTTCTTTATTTTGTTTAAATGTGTTGCCAAAAAAATAAATGTATTGCCTTTTTTCCCCAAATGTTTTCTGTCAGTGTAGTGGGAATGAATCGGATGTCATGGTCATTACACTCTGAATTAAATTTAGATATAAAAATATAATTTAAATAATTTTTGTTTTCATATTATAATCATATCTTAAAGCATAAAATATCAAGGTTATAAGTAGCTTGTATGACATAAATGATTGCAGCTTATTAATGAACCATATTAAGACCTTTTTTCTCAGGGTAAGTATATTTTAACTTATGATACTACGTAAGTTAGTTTGTTATAGAAGTTGTAGAAAAATTAAGATGTGGAGCAATTTTTCCTCTTTTTTTAAGTTAAAATATTGCTTATTTCTAGACTGAAGGAAAAGAGGAAAATTTGAACAGGCTTCATTTTAGTGCTTGTATTACTTGATTGATAGACATCAATTTTAGAGTTTAACTGGGAATTATAGAAATATTATAAACTGTAATGACTGTTTCAATTATATGTTGTTGAGTGCTCTTTCCTTAATATTTTTAGCAGTGCTTATAATGGTTGCACAGATTCATTAACTTGTTTTCCACTCTGTTATATAGGAGAAAGATAGTAAAGGAACTCGGCTTGCATATGTTGCGCCCACAATACCAAGACGACTAGCTAGTACATCTGACATTGAAGAGAAAGAAAACAGGTGGATTCATTTTTATTTGCTTTATGTTTTTAAATATCTTTATTATTTAGTGTGATTTATTACATGAGCATTGTTGCAATTATGTGGGATATGAAATGCAGGAAGAGATGGAGGACATTCCTGACAACTCCAAGTACATAGACCTGAGGAAGTGTAGTCTCTGTTGATTGAGTAGCATTGTTTTTCATCAGTACACAATATTCCACAGAGTAGAATTGCGGAGGTTAAAATAACCATTTCTTTTCCCTATGCTTTGAACTTTTAAGTTGTCCAATATTTTGTGATTATAGATAAAATTTACATAAATATTTAATTTTTCCCATATAATTAAAATTACACCTTAGGGATAGAATCTTAGAACTGGAATTTCACTTCTTAATGAATAGTTCAGAGTGTTTCTCAAGTGATGTTGCTACTTTCTACTTTCACTGCTGTTTATTAATGTACAGCTTTCTTTTTTATTGAAGTACCATTGGTTTACATCCTTGTTAGTATTTTGAAAGTATATTGGATTGCTCCTTTCAGGAGTGTACACCCACAACCAAAGCACCCATATTTCTCCACTGTAGTCCATTGTGCTCTCTCCCTACCTAGTTCTTACTCTTTCCTCTTTCCCGCCTTACCCTGGATACCTCAGTTTTATGTTGGTTTTAAAATTTGTTTTTATTTAACACACTGTTTGTTTTCTCTGTATTTCACATATAAATCACGCCATCCCATATTTATCTGTTTTTGATCACTGAGTACTATTCCAGTGTGTATGTGTGTGTATATAGATATTACTATAGATATATGTATATACACACACACATATACTGCATCATCTTGATCCACTCATTTTTTGGAGGGGATACTTAGGTTGTTGCTATGGTTTGGTTGTTGGAAATAGTGCTATAGTAAACATGGGAGTCAGGTTTCCTTTTGATTATTGTTTTTCTATTCTTCAGAAAGATACCTGGAAGTAGAATTGCTGGTTCATATGGCAGGTTTATTTTTAATCTTTTGAGAAATATATAGCTTTTTCAATCCTATTTAAAATTACCTACCAGAATCTGAAGGGTATTCTTTTCACAGAGACTCTTCAAGCTTGCGAACAAGTAGTTCTTATACAAGAAGAAAATGGGAAGATGATCTCAAAAAGAATAGCTCAATTAATGAAGGCTCAACTTATCATAGAAGGTAATATTATAATTCTTAAGTAACTTTTGTATATACCTTTGTAAATATATGAGGAGTTGTTTGGAGCCCTCAATTTGATGTCATGAAAGAAAGTATGTGCTTTCATTAAATATTATATATTTTGTTCTTCAAGTAAAAAATCATTTTAAAGGCATGATATGTATTTGAAAGGTAAAATTTTGCTCCTATTTATGCCTTCCTAGTAAATATTTTTATTTTATCTTTTAGACTTTAGCATGTTAAGTGCAACTTCCTATATAATTGACTAGAGCAATTGAAATAGATCATTTTCTTAATTGATATGGTCATTATTTGGTGACCTGGAAAGTTTCTAGTTGTCTACAATTCAGAATTATGGAAATGACTTGAATTAGAATGTTGGTAATATCATATTGGCAGCAGAGATGGGGGAACTTACATTTTTCTGTTAAAGGAATCCAAAAGGAAAAATAAACTTAAAAACAAGTATAATGTAGACATAGATCACTTCTCATTGCTAAAACAGGTTTCTTCAGAAATGTCAAGATCTTATTTTCACTGAGAAAAAAAAAACCTAAGTGTTTTTCTCAGGTCTGGTCTGACATAACTGTATGGTCTGGAACACTTACAGATATGTTAAATATCAAATCAGGTCATCTTTGAGTGTTGTTCAGGAAGCAGGAAGGGGGGTGGGTGGGGACGAGGAACAGTTAAATGATACACTACCAAATTAGTGAAATCTCTAAACTCTAGCAAGTTGTAGGTGCAACTCTTGGTGCTGGAGCTGGTGGTGTATTTAGGAACACAGATTTTTAGATTTATTCCTAGTCTTGTGAATCTGTATAATGTATAGACTTTAACTATAGAGTACACATACAAACACATCCTATATAGATGACTCTTTCCTTTAGTTACTCCTTTGGTAGAAGACAAGATGATTTGATTAGTTCTAGTGTTCCAAGCACCACATCAACACCAACAGTTACTTCTGCAGCTGGGCTTCAGAAAAGCCTGCTTTCCAGCACAAGCACTACTACAAAGATTACAACGGGTTCTTCCTCAGCAGGCACACAAAGCAGGTGAGTCACAGATACATTTTGTGTTCAGGTCTACTGTGTGCTTATGTATGTGCATGCATTTTTGTTTAGAAGATCATGGGGCTCTGGATTTTTTCATTTACCTTGTTAAAATTATTTACAAACAAAATTTGATTCCAAAAGTGGCAACTATGCATGTCTGGGGAAAAAAAATTAAGTTTCTGATTTATTAGGCTGCTTAAAATATAAATTTCTCTCTTTAACAGCTCTGGGTGAGCTTTTTGATTCATGTTCAAAGATGTCTTGCCATGTGTTTTAAAAAAATCCATCCCTATAGTTACATGTTTTCAGCTGCTAGAAAGTGCTTTCATTGTTTAGCTGTTTTCCTTTTCTCTTTTTGTGTTGCTGCTTATGATGCTATAGTACCTCAAATCGTTTGTGGGCTGAGGATAGTACTGAAAAAGAAAAGGACAGTGTTCCTACGGCAGTGACCATTCCTGTTGCTCCAACTGTTGTAAATGCTGCAGCTTCTACCACAACCCTGACTACAACTACTGCTGGCACTGTCTCCTCCACATCAGAGGTCAGGGAGAGACGCAGGTGTGTAAAGGTCCTGTTAAGAACTGCTCATATTATCTCTCCAGTGATGAAGTTATTTGCTCTGTTTTGTTTTTTTATCTTGTGAAGTTGGTGACCTCTCCAGTAGGTTAAGAAATGAAATAATCTGTATCAGCTCAGAACTATGTTAATTGATACAATTAGTAATATCTAGTATTTAGGCTTAGTGACCTCTCTCTGACAGAACTGATGTGTTTGTTTAAAGGCAATGAGCCAGGCAGTTGTGTTCTTACCTAGCCATCTTAATTTTATAAATGGTTTTTAACTCAGAACATTTTTGTGATGAAAACCTAAATACACAGTCATTGAAAGTTAGATGTCACAAGACAAAAGTGTTTTTTTAATATTGTTATTTTTTATCCCATTACGAAGATAATTGAAGTTAGACTTTTGTTGTTACTTTTGAGAATTTCATTTTAAGATTTTCTTGGTTAACCAAGCCTTCTTGTGCTGACATGTAAGCCAAATAATAATACATTCACTTAATTTTTTTAGTTCTGATGTGTAGCAGGGACTCATTAAATTTTTCAAAGGGCCTATGAATTTATTGTGTGTATTAAATGTATTTGCGAGGATTGCTTACTTCTTTCTCCTGTACTGTTAATTGGTATGGGATCATAGATGTGGAAAGGAACCTGTATATGATATTTTGTGATGTGCTTGTTCTACAGAAGGAAACTGAGACTCTGCGATACTAAGTGACTTTTCTATTTTATTTATATAGATAGTGTGAGAAATGAGCCTTGATCCAAGATTGCAGAAAAATCAGCACAGTGTTCTTTCAGCTTTATTATGATATAGTCCCTAACTTTTAGTTTTGTTTTTCTTCTTGAGAAAGAAGGAAATGTTAGGAAACTGAATATATCCTTGTTTATGTTTTTTGAAACATTAAAGAAGCTACATGGACTGATATTTTCCTTATTTAAAATACCCAACCACATTAACTTTGGGGTGCTTATATCCCATCTTATTCATCCTTTGTTTCATCCTTTGTTTCTAGTGCCTAGCAAAGTATTTGACTTGGCGTACATAGTAGCAGTTTTACAGTACTATTTGTGAATATTATAAAAAGCAAATTATGAAATTTTTTAATTTTAAACATTTTCTTCCCTGTCATTGCATTTTTTTAGTTTCTCTAAATATATATATATTTCATTTCTATTTTTTTATGGAGATATTAGTGATAATTCTGTGACACCACAAAAAATGGTTAGCATTTTGCAATTTGATACCAATATAGGTCATATCATATTTTAATTACTCTTTATTCTACAAATTTAAGTCAGTTTTAGGTTTTTGTGGTTTTTTTCAGTAAGACCATATAGCCAACAGAAATTAGATTATAGACCCCTGTCACTTTTATAATGAAAATAAAATTGAAAGCTTTGCTTTAGGGAAGGACAGTTAGAAGGAAAAGGGTCTAGTATTTTTTTTATTCCTTGTTCTGCCTTGATCCTAAGTTAAAGTTGTCTCTGGGTCAGAAGTACTTCTTATATAATATAAGGAATTAGATATATGTGATTTTTAACACTAGAAAGGATCCTTTCTGTCTCTAGCATGCCATGACAAAGCCTAATGAAAGTCTCCCCAGAATTACTAGTTGTGTTAGAGCAAGTTTGGCACTTAACCTTAGATTTATTTTTTATGTTGCTGGAGAGTTGAGCAACTTCTTAGAATTATTTCTAGAAGACATGAAAGATTGGGATTAAATATTTAAAAATGTTTTTAGGACAAGCTGATTCTAAATAGTATAAGAAAGAAAGTGTCCACTGACAGTTTTCCTGGTCTGTATTATGGAAATTTTGTTTGTCTTACCTTGTTTCAATGATGTTTGCAGTAATAATGTTTGTGTTTTGTTTCATGTCAAATAATTGTTTGCAGTTTTGAATACATTGTTGGCCTTATCTGTTTGTCTCCTAATTAAATTTCATTAATGGCTTTGAAATGTATATGGTTGAACATTTACCCCAAAAAGATTTACATGATGATTTAAGAATATATTATGGTTGAAAAAAGATAAGTAAATATACTTATACCATTTTAGGTACCCTTGCATATGTACTTTTCAGTATTATGTAGTTACAATGCACATTATTAAATTTCACAGTATTCTTGAGTTTTCCTGTCTTTATCAATGAACATAAGATGAGGATTTCTTGGTTTGGTTAGATTTCCAGTGGGTTAATTTTAGGAGAGGTATAAGAAGAGAAGCTAGCTTTACATATGGGGAACATATTTCTACTATGGAGAAATACAAATACTTAATAAAAGAATTGTTAATTGCAAAATAATTATGTAACTAAAACTTCTTATTTGTAGCATGAATTTGCATGGAATTATTGTTTACTGTAACTACTATCTTCCCCCATTTTTCCTTAGTTCAGCCGACTCCCCTTTGCACGTTTATATTCCCTCTAGAATGAAAGACGAGCAACAACTGGATTGGTTTTTTTTTTTTAAGATGTAATTTGGTTAACTAACCAAAATATAAATATTATAGATAAACAAACATTTTAGCCAACAAATGTCAGTGAAATAAAGGATAACTACATTTATTTGGGTAAAAAAAAATCCTTAATATAAAAATGACAACCTTTGGGCGCGCCAAATAAGATAGTAAGCAATCTAAAATTAAGAAGAATCAAAATTATATACCCTATGTAATTATAAGAAATGGAACCAGTATAGCAGAATGATATAGTAATGACTAAGGCAACCTTAGAGTTTGAGTGATGTCTTTTTGATGATCAGCTCTTTGGAATTAAAAACATAATATATATGGATTTTTTTTTTCTTCTTTACATTCCATTCTTAGAGGCTTACTCTATACAGGTACACCGAGAAAGGAATTGTATATTGATAGGAACTCGGAAATATATTATGTATTATCAGTTGATAGCCTGCATTTTTATGCTAATTTGAAGCGTATGTTATATGGAAAATTAAAATAAACAGATTTTATAAGACTTCCAACTAGTAATTGTTATCTCCCTAACCTGCATATGAGAAATGGATTTATTAATTTTCACGGTAACTTGAAACTGTTGAAAAAGATTCTAGACTTTTTGGGAAGAGTTTCATGTTTTGAGGGGGCGGTGTTGGGGGGAGGGAATGGCAAAAGAGCAAAGTAGCAAACCAAATTTCCCTGTCCTAAACTAAATAAGAAAATTTTGTCCATATATAGTAGGAGTCAGAATTCTGTTGTCCAGGATCATATTTACTTTCAGTACAGCTCATGAAAAGCTGAAGTGATGATACATGCTGCCATTTGGGCTGCTATAAACTTTTCTGTACAACCAGATTTTCTATCACATTTAGGTTTTAACTTTTCTTTTTCCTTTTTGCCTCATGAAAGTCAAATAGGCAATAAATTGCATTGAACCCATAGATTCATAAATAATTGTTAAATGAATGAATTAAAAATAGCCTTTGGTTTATATATTCCAAGCTGATTTTTCACCACTTTTCCACATTTAATAGATGTGCCTCAAAAGAAAAACAAGTATCCATTCAAGTATACTTAAATAATACCGGATGATGCTGAATTAAAAAAAAATGTTAAATAGGTTTTTTTCCCCTCAGTACTTCTCACACCCTTTAATATGTTGTGATTTTCTTGGATAAAGGTAGAATGTAGAGCACTTTACAAATGTACTTAACCAGCTTCTTTTACAAATAAATAAGCACTGTAGTACATTTCAGAATTGATGTCTCTTAAACTTTAATAACAAGTTTGTTACTCTCTTTCTCATTTTAAATTACTTGTCCCAGAAAAATCTCTAGTTAATATGAAAGTAAGGAAATATCTGTTGTATCTAAATAAAACCTTAAAACTTGAGATTTTATTCAGAATGCAAGTCATAAAACAATGGCAAAAGAGAAGTGTGATGCTTAGTGTGACTTGAACATTATGGAAGGAAGTGAGGACAGGTTTCCCACTGATTATATTAATCCTCTTTGAGTATTTCCATTAGTACAAATGAAGTTGCCTGTAGAGAATTTCAGCTAAAAAAAAGGTCAAGCAAAGAAAATGCTGATAACCAGAATGTTTTATTTAGTGAATTTTTCCCTTGCACTTCCACTATTAGGAGGGAAAAGTAAGTAACAGAAAACAAGTAATTAGAAATTTAATTTAAAAAATAAAAATTTTAAGTTATCAACTTAAACCAGTACCAATATTTTAGTGGAATCCAAATTTGTGAGAGCTCTTCAGTGAAATGCTACAATCCAGTAAGTTGTTCCTTACTGATGAGATAAATGTACATAGATAAAGAGGAAAAAAGAAATTATATCATGATGATACAATCTCATAAGTTAGTCAACTGAATAGAAAAAACAAGTGATATTTTCTTAAACCACACAATAAAAGCAAAATAGTCAAAATACAGTGGCAGTGGGATTTTCATCTCTAAATTTGCTGAATATCTCATTCCAGTAAAAGCACTGTCTTGGGAATTCCTTGACTGGGCTTGCTTACAGTTTATCTGTAAATAGAATACAAGCAATAAGGAGTAACAGTAGTCTAGAACTAACTTCAACCAATAAGTAAGAGTTAAGTGATGAAATTGAGGCAACTAGGATCTTGGATGAGGAATGACCTATCTTAATTATCTATAAAGAGGTAAATCTTAGGAGTAATGGATCATATGCTGTAGTTTTAGGGAGATAGCTTTATTTTAATGCAAGAGGGAGGGAAAGACTAATTTTTATGTATATGAAAGAAAATGAGGAGCTCTCAGAAGAATTCTGAAGAAACTTAGTAAGTCTAAGGAATTTGAATGTGTTTTGCGCTCTGAATTTAGAGCTTTAAAGGACACATTGAAAAAAAAATAGGGTACATAAAACCAAGAATAAATTCTGGTTAGTCACCAGTATATAAATTGTTTCAAGTAGGTTAAATGAGAATGAATTATGATTTGAGAAGAATACTAAAACTAACCAAAAAAAACTTTTAAAAAAAGTAACATTTAAAGAGATAGCAGGTGGTATAAACTTGTTAAACTTAACATGCAGCATAGAAAATAAAGATGCTTCAAAGTGATCTCTAAGAAATGTGAGCTACATAATTTAACTAGATAAGTGTTAACCATTGAACTTTCCAAGTAATATTGATTATTGTGGGCAAGTGTTCCTGTTATGTTGCATCTTCCTTATTAAGGGATCATCAAGTAATGATCCCTTAATTATTTAAGCTGGACATATTTTATATGCTTGTGAAGTTCTTTCTGCCTGTCCTCTAACAGGATAGAACATAGAATTATTTGTAAGATGAAATTTAGTTAAAGTAAATGACAAGCCCTCTTCTTAATACCAGAATATCAATTATCCAAGTATAAAATGCTGATTTTTAAAATCAGTTCAGGTATAAAAATACTTGAGTTTTCAGAGAACTTAAAATTTAGCCAAGACCATCTTAATAAATGCACAATGACAAGAATGCAGGGAGAACTGCTAACTCACTCATCAGCCCATAGCATGAATGGTGCATGCAGTCCTAACCACTGATCCCTAAAAGGACATTGACAGTCTAGAGTTTAGCCAGATGACTTCACATGTTATATAGGATGGTGTTGTAAGGAATCAAAAAGCATCTAAGAGGAATGAGATTATGTGGCTTTAAAAAAAAATGCAGTTAGGAAGAACTAGAAAAAAAAAAGTGATGTTGATGTGAGTAGTTCCAGTATAAAAATAAATTATCAAGTTGCATTGTTGAAATTCAGATTGAGTGTGACCATGTTCTAAAGACTCATATTTCTTAAAATCCATTAAAAGACTAAAGTTGTATGTTTCATTCACACACATTTGTATGTTATTACATTGACAGGTATTGTGTCTCAAATTAATACTTTTTATTTATTGCTATAGATCATACCTCACACCTGTTAGAGATGAAGAATCAGAATCCCAAAGAAAAGCAAGATCGAGACAAGCAAGACAGTCTAGAAGATCAACACAGGTATATGTAATATACATAATATGTAATACTTCAAATTATTGATGACAGTATATGTAAATCTTAAAAGGTAAAGATTACTTTAGTAATCCCCCCATGTCCTTTTGTATATTGTTAAACTGTTAGTATTATATTTCATCTAATTTATTTTTTTACTCCTAATATGGTGTTGGACACATATTATTTGATAAGTGTTAGACTAAATTATCATATATAATGCCTAATAATTATTAAAGAATCCTGTGAATTTGGGAAGGGAAGGGGTGCTGGGGTTGTCTGTTATATGAGGTGTGTCATACAGCTAATGTACAGGTATGAGGAAAATGTCATTCAGGTAGTTATCTCCTTGCTATTCTAATGTGACCTCATATTGGCCTTTGTTCCTTACCATTTTGAGGAGTTCCAAAGTCCAGATTCAGCTGTTTGATTTTATCATTAGTCACATTTCAAATTGAACTATTATTGGGATATTAACATATTTTTTCCATCTTTGTACCTTTACTTCTTGAAATTCAACCTGTTCTTCAAAATTATTTCTTTACTGAAATCTCTGTGTGCATATATATGTACAAAAACACAAGTACATTTTAACTTTACATATAAACAATGTACATACTGGCTTTTCTCTCTACTTTTGGGGAACATTGCTATTCATATGGCATTTCTGTCATTTCCCATGCTATTTTGTTAATTGCTTGAACATAGGGATAATTTCTTAGACATTTTTTATATTTTTCATGACACTTATTATTATGTTTATTCATGTTTCTTCATAGTATGAATGTGGACTTGCTAACTAGAAATTTTGTTTCAATTTGCAAACCAATTCCAAACATGTGTTTTTGATTTTTAGTACATTTGTATTTAATTTATCTACTTATGTAATATTCCTTTGATGTGAACTTTAATGCGCCTCATAATTAAATTCATCTTTTTGTGTGTGCAGGGGGTGACATTGACTGATCTTCAGGAAGCTGAAAAAACAATCGGAAGAAGTCGTTCTATCCGAACTAGGGAACAAGAAAATGAAGAAAAAGAAAAAGAAGAAAAAGAAAAACAGGATAAAGAGAAACAAGAGGAAAAGAAGGAATCAGAAACATCTAGAGATGATGACTATAAACAGAAGTACTCCAGAACATATGATGAGGTAATAGTATGTCAATGACACGGTTAGGTTAAACGATATGAATAAATTTTGCATTCTCAAACAAGAAGAAATTTATATATAACAAACCATATACAAATACTTGAAAGGACTTTAACTTGAAATGTGAATTATTTTAACATGGTTAGAATATTTTCCTATGAAATGAATTTAATTACTCTACATGGATTTTTCTGTTTCATAATTCAAATGAGTTTTAACTTTAATTTTTCACAGACTTACCAGCGTTACAGACCAGTATCAACTTCAAGTTCAACCACTCCGTCCTCTTCACTTTCTACTATGAGCAGTTCACTCTATGCTTCAAGTCAAATAAACAGGCCAAATAGCCTTGTAGGTATAACTTCTGCTTACTCCAGAGGATTAACAAAAGAAAATGAAAGAGGTAAGAAGACCAAAGTTTGAAAACAGTTTCCTTCAAATAATCCTTTGAATTGGTTTTTCCAAATACTTCAACAGAAAAGAAGCAATAATGTAAACTGAAACTCATTGTACCTACAAGACAAAGAATATGATAGTTGAAAATGAAAAAAAAATAGATAACTATATGACAAATTGATATATATCATTATAATGTAAGATTTCACAAAAATATGCCTACAAAGACAGAAAAGTCAGTATAGAAGAACTGGTGGATCACTAGTTCTAGAAGTAGTTTATCAGTGCTTTTAAGTCTTTTCTTGTTGATTTTGTAGATCATGTCTTCTATTAAATTTTTTTGTGAAATCATTGTAAACTAAAATCACTTAACACATGTAATGCCCTTGCTGAAATGAAATAGTTTAATCTTTGTTCTTGAGAAATAGATTTTTTTATCAGATAAATGTTGGCATATTGATGCTCACTATTGACATTTCCTATTATTTCATTTAAGCTCATTTAAATTCTGATTCTTATCATATATCAGATATATGTATTAAGTAAGATTATTTTTCAGATTATAGATATTTTATGTATTAAAAGCAAAATCTCAATGTTAGTCATGATAGCACCAGTTACATAGAATAAACATCAGAATACCACTTTCCAACTTCTTGCAAGTTTGTATTTCGTTGGTCATTGAGATATTCCAGTTTTTTAAAACATTGATTTAAATAATTATGTTTGCAGAATGTTAAACCAGTATTTAAAATTAGGGATATTTGCATAAAAGGTCGGCTGTCTTTCTGTTGGAAATTTGGAAGATATGGCATCACTGGTTTGAATTTTCACATGTCAACATTTGATTGGAGCTAGATAGTAGCATCCCCAACTCCCTTGGACTAGTGCTCTCCACACACTTTAGTGATTTATGTCACTACGGGCACTGAAATTACAAATTTTTGCTCTAATTGATTCCAAAGATAACTTTAAAAACCCTTCTTAAAACTAAAGTTTTGTGCTTTCTCCTGCTGTGATTCTTTGTTAATGACACAGCCTTTAAAAAATAATTTCTCACATTACTTTGTTTTATGTTTGTCTGCTTTTTGAAACATATTGAAAGCCCTAATGTTCTCTAGTATACAAGTCTGAAGCCATTTTAATTGTCCCAAGAAGAAAACAAAATTGAAGACTGACATTTATTTACATTGATCTGTATTTGATGAAAGATACATATTCTTCCCAGAATTTAAAGGGGTGGGGGGTTGTTCTAGAGGCTGTTGTAATTGAAATGAAATAATACTACTATTATCTATTCTATTGCTAAATGAAGACTGGGAATAGGGGAAGGAGAAACTGATAAATTTATATGATGCCTACTAGTTGTTCTGTCATTTAGAACTTTTTTTTTTTTTTTAAGATTTATTTATACATACAAGAACTGGGGAACAGACCAGAGGTATGGGGGTGAGAGGATTTACCAGAGACACAGTATGGAGCAGAACAGCCAAATTGACTGAAATACACTAATGAGGGGAGCAGCAGGCGAGCCAGGAGAGATCTAGAGGTCTGCTGCACCATGTGGGTAGTTTCCTGCACCATGTGGGTAGCTACCCGAACTCATGCTGCAGTGGCTGCGGCTAGCTTCATAGGTTGTGTCTTAACCCCTTGAGCCACCAGGAGGCCCAAGAACTGATTTTTTTTAAGTATTAACTTTATAGTAACTATTTACCAGATATTAATAACTGGCACCCCATCTTCCTCATAGGCTTCAGTTATTTTCTAGTCAACAAATAGTGTTACATGTGTTTTTTGAACAAAATTTTTTTTTTTAAAGATTTATTTTTATTTATTTATACAAGCACTGGGCACAGTCAGAAGCGCGGGAGGGTGAGAGAAATCACCAGAGCCAGAGCGGGTAGCAGAGCAGGCAGAAGGACCGAAGCACACTGCCGAGGGGAGCTGTGGGCGGCAGGAGAGGTCCGCGCGCCATGTGGGACCCTCGCCCGGTGGCTGGGGAGCAGCCGGGGATCGAACTGGCGCAGCAGAGGCTGCGGGCAGCTTCGCAACCTGGTGCTCAACTGCTGCGCCAGCGGGGAGGCCCCTGAACAAAATTTTTTTAAAAGATTTATTTATGTATACAAGAGCTGGGGCACAGGCCAGAGATGTGGGGAGTGAGAGAATCCACAAGACACAGAGTGGGGAACAGAACAGGCAGACTGACTGAAATACACTGCTGAGGGGAGCAGCGGGTGAGACAGGAGAGGTCTTCTTCACCATGTGTGTTTCTCCCTGGCCAGCTGGGGATCCAACTCATGCTGCAGAGGCTGCGGACTGCCTCACAGTGCGGTGCTTAACCCCTTGTGCCACCAAGAAGGCCCCCAAATTTTTGTTTTAAGGACTAAGAAAATGAAATAATTAAGATTCGTTTTTGTCTTGCTCCTCAAGAACATATCTAATGGAAGATACAGATGCATTTTACATAAAGTGCTAAAGAAGTACTAAAAGGGGCAAAAATTCTGATTAGAGAATTTTGGAAGTCTTCATTAAGGAGGTTGACTTAGAATTGTTTTTACATTTGCCTTGCAAAATACTTTCAATATATATTGATTTATTGTAATCCTTAACAGAGGGAGAAAAGAGAGAAGAGGAAAAAGAAGGAGAAGATAAATCACAAACTAAATCAATTAGAGACCGACGGCGACCAAGAGAGAAGAGAAGATCAACAGGAGTTTCATTTTGGACACAAGATGTGAGAACCTACTAAAATATAACTACTAGATAGTGTGCTTAACCTTTTCAAAAGTCCATACTAATAATTTTTATATGCCTCAGAGTACATATTCTTTAAATCCTCACTACATTTTTTTGATCTATTAAATCAGAAAAATTCTTTATTCCTCAATTCTGTTAACTAACTCCCTTTAACTTTTTGGAGTTATACATTTAACCAGCAATGAAAGAATGTTTCCTAAGATCCAAGTTGGCAATACTCATCTTTTTAATTTGAGCTTGCCTTGAGTTGTGTTCTAACTAGCCATCACTAGTTTTCCCTAGTTTTTATTTGTACCTCAATTTGTATTAAGCAGGTTTCTTTTTAGTTTTGCAGGACCTAGGAACCTTCCTACTTTTTTATTTTCATTCCTGTTTTCTCCCATGAAACTGAAATGCATAAAGACTATCACTTAGTGATGTAGAATTGATATATTTATATTAATAAATAGTACTAGCAGCAGCATTGATTTCTTAGGTTTACTTAGTAACTTTACATATCATTTTTGCTAGATATCAAAATGATAATTTATACAAAGATTCTCTCTAATCCTTAGATTCTATAAGGTTTTTAATACCCGTTGTGTGGGTGACATAACTGGCTTACCCATTTTTTTTAAATAAATGTGCTATGTGTTATATAGCTGGAAATAGCTATACCAACTTGAAAGTAGGATGATAAAGTTTTGAAGCCTGTGGTGTTTTTATAGTGTGTCTGAGCAAGCTGTGTTTGAATACAACAACCTTTGTTGTTGAGATGGTCAAGACCTTTTAGTAGAATTTTCCCATAGCCTCCTAAGACCTTGATTTTCTCTTTGGTGTACTATAAATCCCAAGAAATTTCTAGATGAATGAACCGTGTAAACCTATTGCATAAATCTTGCTAATTGTGTAGAATCCAACCTTTCTTACAATGAATTTACTGTTTTCGCTGCTTCGCTGTAGTTGATCAGCTAATTGGTACTTATATTTACTACTGAAGTACATGCAATTATTGCAATATAAAATGGAATATCTTCTTTCTCATACTAAGCCTCCAACTTCCTCATCCCCAATAAGAATGTATTTCCTAAATCAAGATGTTAGGTAGATGGTTTTTCCTTAGCACATATGCTAACCTACTTAGAGATTGTGTGAGACTGACAAAATAGGCTTCTCTAAATAGGGTTGAAAATTCCCACTTAAAAATCAGTTTTCCTTTTGATCTATTTCCAGCTAGATTATCATGTTTAATTAGAAAACACTAAAGTATTTAAATGCCAGTTGTTTGGAATTTATCTTTACTTTTCTAAAATAAATTGGCAATGTCATTTTAGAGTGATGAAAATGAGCAAGAACAGCAATCAGATACAGAAGAGGGATCCAATAAGAAAGAAACTCAGGTAAAAAGCAAGTATTGATATATTTTAAGGATTACTGTTTGCCTTGTTTATATTTATTCATGAATACTGCACCTACATGTGCGCTGTCTGGGGTCAGGGTTGAAGGAACTAAGAAGGGACACAGGAATATTTTAAACACAACAGACATGTTCTGGATCTTGATTATAGTGGTCTTATGGATATATACAACTGTCAAAACTCATCAACTCTGTGCTGTAAATGGTGTATGTATTTTATTGTGTAAAAAATGATCTTCATAGTTGAAAAGGTAAAAGAGAATTGTGCCCTTGAAAAAAGTATTTAAAGGATATTCAAAAGTAGTGGATACCTTACTAGACCCAGATTTTAGTTTGTAAATGGCAAAATTATGTTATGGAGAAGACAGGCCTTTCTAACTTTCTTTACATTTATTTAGAAATTTAGTTTCTCTAAAGGACTTCTACATTTATTATCCCAACTAATCTTCCCAACAGTTTTCTGAGAATTTTTTCTCAGTATTAATGAAAAATTTAAGACAAGTTTGACTGCCTTAAAATTATATGGTTTGCTAATAATGGAAGTTTCTTCCTACTAGCCTTTTTCCCCCACTATTTCATATTGGTTGTGCAGAAAACTGGCATGCTTTAAAGAATTCTATTCACTTAGGAGTTACGATGTACAAGTTGTTCTAACCTGCCATATAAACTTAACACTGTCTATCCTGAAATGGCATTCTGGTCATACTGTCCTTATTTTGACTTCCTCGATATAGCTGTTAAAATTTATTTTAGTCAGCAACAATCTGTGAAAAAGTAAAATAATCAGATGTTGGTGAACTGTGCTAGGTAACTATGGACATTACTTTTTGGGCTAAATTTGCCAATTTTGACCCCAAAGATAATTTTATGTTTAGGTAGTCATACAAATTGAGGAATTAATTACTTCCAAGGGTAAATTATTTGCAGTGTTAAAGCTTTTCACATTTAATTCCTTTAACAATTAACTGTCAGCACTCATCCCAGTTCACCTATGTACTTTATTTATTCTGTTTTATAAACTTGTCCTATCTTCCTTTTCCAGTAGTACTGTAGAAATTCCTGTCTTTTAAGGAAAAACAGTAGAGACAGGTAAATAACAGGGAAATAAGTAAGCCATTTTTAACTGGCATTTCTCACTGACATATCACTTAGGTCCCATGTCCCATCATGCTGGAATAGAAGGAAAGAAATTTTCTGCCTTCCAGATTTTTTGCTTTGAAGCATATGTTGTGTTTTACTGTTAAAATTATATGAGGTGTATTATATTAAGTAGAACATTATTTGCAAGAAGAAAAAAATTTCTTAGTTTCAAATTTGTTTTAAACAGATAGATTATTGTTTAGATCATGCTTTGTGCTAACATTCCTTCAGTTACAAGTAACCAAAAACTCAAACTGAATTAAACAAAGAGAATTTATTGTACTTCAGTTGTATTATGCAATCCTGTGTCATCTTCATTCTCAGGCTGGTTTACCTCATAGGATTATAATAATTGGCTTAGGCCAAATAAGGCCCACCACTGATTCTATACAGCTATTTTGCTACTAATGTGGACAACTCTATAAGGAGAAGGAAGAATGGAGGGTAAGACACTAATCTATAGTGTCTTCTACATTAGACTAGAAAAGTACTTCCACCCAATAAGAATGCTGCTCTCTTCTGAAAACTCAGCATAAGCCCTTATTTTCTGTGGAAAAGTATGGTTGGCAAAATTCTTCTGTGTTTTCTGAAATAGTGTTATCATCCTCTCAACAGTGTGCTTGATGACAAGGCTTCTATTTGTCTTATAAAATCCAAATTAACCATTTTAAAACTTGACTTTCTTGTATGTACATTTTTCTTTCAAAGCAAGGTAAGTTGTAAAATGCCCAAGAGTTCTTGAAAATTATGAGTTGTGCTTGAAGCTCAAATTATCTATTTTTAGGATATAAATTAAAAGAAAACTAAGATAAAATTTTATACCAGAAACTTTGAGTTACTTTGTCTTCATTATTTCCAAAAATGTGGCTTGTGTTACTTTGGTTATTATGATTCGCTTTCTTTAAGTTAATGAATGGCAAAACTTTTACCATGCAGAGGATATTAACAGTAAATCAAGAATTTAAGTATAACACCAAGGCAAGAAACCATAGAGAACAGATAAGCAAATTTGATTATTTAAGCATACAAAGATAGAATATAGCAGCAATGACACCCTTATTACTAAAATTGGTCTTAATGTGCTCAGTTAAAAGTAAATAATGTTTGCCTTCTTGTATAACATCTAAAAGATTAATATTTGTACAATATAAAAACTCAGTAAAAGTAGACAGAATGTATAAAATTTATAAATTTTTCAAAAGAAAAAAATAGATAGCCAATAAGCTTGAAAATTCACTTAATCTCCTTACTCTCCAAAGACCTAATAATGCAAAAGTGAAATTGGCAAAGGTTTAATAATGCCCAGATTTTCATGGCTAGTACTGAAATAGGCATTTTCCTGTAAGATTTTGCCACTATAATAAGCTTACCGTTTTTTGGAGTTTCAATAAGCAGTGTAAATCTGAAGCCTCACAGAAAAGTTTTTCCTTCCAGTTTAGTAATTCCACTTCTAAGAATTTATTCCCAAGGAAAAAATGAAGTATGTAAAGATAAATCTGCAAAGTATTCATCACAGCATGATTCTTAAAGTAAAAAAGACTATAAAAATACCCAAAATTGGTAGGGAATAGGTTAAATAAAATGTATTTGCATAGATTGATACTTTATGTATTCACAAGAATGGTTAACAGTGCTTAGTTAATAGAGATTCAGACAGATGTAGGATTTTAGAGGAATTTTTATATGTAAACTGTGGTGCTGTAATCAGAAAAATATAAAGGGTACTTTTACTATGGAAAAAGAATTTTAAACACAAGAAGCAAGGACATTCTGCTAAGTGAAACATAGTATAGGATTTCACTTATATGAGATAAAGTGTTCAAACTTTATAATTATAATTAGAGAAAGAAGAATTGTGTTTTCCAGGAACTGAGATATGAGGATGTGGGGAGGTGTTTACTGAGAATAATTTCAATTTTATTGAATGAAAAAATTCTGGCGATCTGTTGCTCAATAATGGATATGTTAATATAGAGCTATACTTTCAGAAGTGACTTAGATTATAAATTTTAGGTTTTTTATTGTAATTTAAAAAGTATAAAAATGCACCATTTTGGTAGACAAATAAGATTTGATTTATTTATTAATACTTAGAGTTTTTCTTTATTCTTGAAATTTAAAATAGTGAACTAGACTGCAAAGTAAGAAGTGAGGTCTGATATTTTTGTTATGTATACATTTTTTCCCCATAGTTATTTTCCTGAATTTGAGTAAGATATTTTATAAGATCTTGCTTGTACTCTTTTTTTATTGAGATATAAACCCATAACATTATATGATATGAGATAGTGACTAGATAGTATATGTTGCAAATGATCACCACAATAATTCTAATTAACAACCATCAACACACAGTTAGAAATTTTTTTCTTGTGATAAGAATTTTAAACATCTACTCGCAAGCAACCTACAAAATGAATATCTTAAAAATTAAAATTTAACTTAGAGTTGTTAAAAACCTAAAGAATAACTAAAAATTAATCTTTAAAGCAAAAAAGAAATTGAGTCAAGTACAAAATTGGTTTTGCAAATGAAATTTAAATAAACTTTAGTAAGGCATTTTTAGTTTGAATTAGACTTTAAACAGTACCAAAAGAACTAAAATGCTCTAGGGTATTTATTTGGCTCTGCTATCTCTAAAATAAAAATAAGAAAAATAATTGCTTGAACTGTCACTTAGTAAACTTGATATTTCTTAATGTAAATATGATACTTCCTCCTACCAAGTAGATATAAGTAATAAGTATGTGTCTGATTTCTCAGTTTTTTTCCTTCTAATTAAAAGAAGATTATAATGTGATATTTGTAGGAGTTCAAAAAAGATAGTTATAGATTGCCAAATGTAAATTGCATGGTATTGTGCATGTAATAATATACAGTGACTTTGTATTCTAAAACTTCCTTCTAAAAACAACATTAAAGTTAAAAGGTATAAATAGATCAGTTTATTTAATAGTGTGAAAACAGTATTGATATTATGTTAAATTTGATCATTCTGCTATCTAATGAAAGGATAAACATTTAGTATGCCTATGTTTTTCTTTTTCTTTCTAGACGGATTCCATTTCTAGGTATGTTTTACTTCTGTTTTTACTGACTTTTTCTTTTTGTCCTTCCTGAAAACATGTTGCTAGATCCAAGTGGGTCTTATAAGTTGATAGATTTGAATAATAAAAATCTGTGGACATTTAGATTACCTGTTAATAGCTTGTTTTTGTCAGAGGCTTTACTTTCATTTCAGTAGTCACAAAGGTCAACCATCTCTCTATAGGAAACCCATATTAACAAAGACAGTCATACTCTTAAAGACTGGAAGACAATCCTGTAAGCAATGGCAATCAAAAAATGTCATGAACAGTTATACTTATATTGGATAAAATAGATGTATAGTCCAGCAAAAAGAAATAAACATACATGCACCAGATGATGGAGTACCAAGATACATGAGACAATAGAGCTAAAGAAAGAGATTAATAGCAACACATTAATAGTAGGAAATTTTAATACTCCACTTGTAACTATGGACAGATTAAGACAATAAGTAAGAAACAATATCCTTGAATGAGGTACTAGATCAAATAGGCTTAATTAACACCTGCAGCAGGAGTTCGATCCCCTGCTGGCCAGGGAGCAATCCACATTGTTCTGTTCCCCACTCTGTCTCTGGTGAATCCTCTCATCACCACCCCCCACCCCGCATCTCTGGCAGTACCCCAGCTCTTGTATGCATAAATAAATAAATCTTTTTAAAAAACCACTCTGAAAACAAAACACAAGGCCAGATGACTTTACAAGTGAATTCTATCAAACCTTTAAATCAGAACTTAACACATCTTGGCTCAGACTCTTTCAAAAAGTTGTCCCTAACACAAATTATACAATGCCAACATTACCCTAATACCACAAGCACATTAGGTTAGCATGATAGAAGATCAGTATCCTTAATGAATTATGATGCAAAAACCTTCAATTAAATGCTAGCAAATTGGGGGGCTTCCCTGGTGGCCCAGGGGGTCAAGCATTGCACTAGGAAGCTATCCACAGCCTCTGCAGCAGGAGGTCCATCCCTGGCCAGCCAGGGAGCTACCTATATGGCGCAGCAGACCTCTCCTGTCTCGCCCATTGCTCTCCTCACCAGTGTATTTCAGTCAGTCTATCTGTTCTGTTCCCCAGTCTGTCTCTGATGAATCCTGTCACCCTCTACACCTCTGGCCTGTACCCCAATTCTTGTATGCATAAATACATCTTTAAAAAAAAATGCTAGCAAATTGAATTCAGCAATACAAGACAAGGATTATACGTTATAGTCAAGTGAGATTTATCTCAATGAAGCAAGGATGTTTTAACACATGTAAGTCATTATAATATATTATAGCAACAAGAGTAAAGATAAAAACATTATCAGTGGATATGAGGAAATAATTTGCTAAGATTCAATATCCACTTATGATAAAAATTCTAAAGACATGACTAGAAGGAACCTACTTCAACATAATAAAGACCTTATTTCACAAACCTGTAGCCAATATAATACTTAATGGTGAAAAACTGAAAGCTCCCCTTTAAGGACAGAGCAAAACAAGGATGCCTGCTATCCCCACTTATGTTTAGTTTAGCATCAGGCTTTAGCTGGAGCAATCAGAAACAAGAATACGAGGAATCCAGTTAGAAAAGAAGTGAAATTACCATTATTTGCAGATGATATAATATATGAAGAAAAACTTTAAAACTCCATCAAACAGTTGTGGGGAACAGTAAATGTCCCTTGCCATTAAACCTTGCTATCAAAGTGGCAGGTTGTAAAATAAACATTCAAAAATCTTGCTTTTTTATATGCAAACCATGAGCAGGAAAAAAAATAAGAAAATAATACCATTCACATTCACTTCAAAAAGACTTAAATATCTAGGAATTAACCAAAGAAGTGAAGTATTTAAACAATGAAAACTACAAGACGCCATTAAAACAATTAGATCATGATATGAGATGGAAAGACACCCATGCTCTTGGATGGGAAAATCAGTACAATCAAAATGACCATTCTATGGCACATATTAAAAAAACTAGCAACAGCAAGTGTTGGCGAGGGTGTGGAGAAAAAGGAACTCTTCTGCACTGTTGGTGGGAGTGCAAACTGGTCCAACCACTGTGGAAAGCTGTGTGGAGATTTCTGGACCTACTAAACATAGAGCTTCCATATGATCCAGCAATTCCACTCCTAGGTATTTACCCAAAGAACACAGAAACATCAATTCCAAAGAACACCTGCACCCCTATGTTTATAGCAGCACTATTTACAATAGCTAAGCTTTGGAAACAGCCCAAATGCCCAAAAATAGATGACTGGATCAAGAAGATGTGGTCCATATATACCACAGAATATTACTCAGCATTCAAAAAAGATAAACACATGCAGTTTGCAGCAACATGGATGGCGCTGGAAGGGATCATGCTCAGCGAAATAAGCCAAAAAGAAAAAGAAAAATACCGGATGGTCTCACTCATAGCAGGAATCTAGAAAACTTAAATAAGGGACCAGGAAAATGAATAACTATAAGAAAGTGAAAATCAAAATCAACAAAAAACTATGAACCAGAGACACTTTTAGGGGGGCAGGGGCGGGAGGGGAGGGATTGGGGTCAGAATGGGGGCGCTGCAATTGTATGGGGAATATAACAAAATTTATTATCTAATAAAAAAAAAATGACCATTCTACCAAAATGATACATAGACTCAACACAATCCCTATCGAAATAACAACAATGTTCTTTAAAGTAATTGAACAAAAATACTAAAATTTACGTGAACTCCTAAAAGACCTTTAATAGCACAAGCAGTCCTGAAAAAAAGAAACAGGCATCATGTTAACTGACTTTACATTGTACTATTAAGCAACAGTATTTAAAACAATATGGTATTGACATAAAAAAAGGACACATGAGGGCCTCCCTGGTGGCTCAGGGGTTAAAGACAGGCTATAAAGCTATCAACAGCCGCTGCAGCACAAGTTCTATCCCCGGCCGGCCAGGTAGCTAACCCACATGGCACAGCAGACCTCTCCTGTCTTGCCCGCTGCTCCCCTCAGCAGTGTAATTTCAGTACATCTGCCTGTTCTGCTCCCCACTCTCTCTGGTGAATCCTCACACTGCCCCCACCTCTGGCTTACACCTCAGTTCTTGTAAACATAAATAAATCGTTAAAAAAAGTAGACACATGAATCAATGGAATAGAATCAAAAGCCCAGAAATATAGATCCACATATATATCAAACTTTATTCATGAAAAGGAGCCACGGCTTTATAATAGGGAAAGGAGAGTCTTTCTAATAAATGGTGTTGGGAAAACTAGACAGCCACATGTAAAAGAATGAAGTTGGGTCACTCTTCTAACTCCATGCAGACAAATTTTAAATGGATCAAAAACTTAGGTATAAGACTTGCAACAATGAAATATATAGAAGAAAACATTGGTGATGACATTTCATGATATAAATGATAAAGATGTTTTTGAAAACTTGACTCCTACAATAAGGGAAGTAAAACAAAAATAAACAGATGGAATGCCCTCAAATTAAAAAGCCTTTATTTACATAGCAGAAGAAAATGTAATTAGATTAAAAAGACATCCTACTGAAAGGGAGAAAATATTTACACATTACACAACCTACAACTATCTAACAGATATTAAAAGTGTACACAATGTAAACAACCCAGTTAATAAATGGGCAGCAGTGCTGAACAGCTAGTTCATAAAGAGGACTAGAAGACCAGTAAAAACACACGAAAAACTGTTCATCATCACATTAAGGTCAAAACCACATCGAGATAACTTACACCCATGAGAATGACACATATTTAAAAGATCCCCAACAAGTGCTGGAGAGGATGCAGAGAAAGAGAAACCATATTACACTGTTGATGGGAATATAAGTTGGGCAGCCATTTTGGAAAACAACCTGAACTTACCTTAAGAAAATAAAAATGAAAATACCATACAACCCAGCCATTCCCACTGTTGGGCATCCAAGAGTCCAAAGAACATGAGAGTATCAACTCAAGAAATTGCGTGCTATATAATGTTTATTGCAGCATTTTTTATAATAACTAAGACATGGGAACAACCTAAGTGCCCACGCATAAGGGATTTTATCAAAAAGTGTGGTCTGTCCACACAGTGGAATATTCAGAAACATAGAAAGATGAAATACTGCTATACACAAAAAAATGGAAAGAGTTCAAAGTAATTGTGTAGTAAAACAAGTCAGAATAATAAAGACAAATATCAGACATTTACATTGCAGACGATTTAAGCAAGCAAAACACTTAGAAATAATACTGGACACTAATAAAGTTTCTGAAACTAATATGGGGGGAGAAAAGGTTGGTGATTGGTTCACTTACGAGAAAAAAACAAGTGAAAAGTAAATGTTTTAAAATGATCATACAGCCTCTACTACAAATGTAGAAGGAAGAGCAAAATTTTGCAAATTTCCCTTTTCTGAATTTAATTAAACTCTTGCAGTAAGGGAAGAAATAATTCCCCATTTATTATGTATCACAAAAGTTGATTCGATAACAGATGATAGAGTATATTAACCTACAGTTTTAAAATATAAAATTAATATATACTAGGATGCATGTTAATGTAAGTTGTAAATACATATAATAAAGATTTTGACTGAAGTTTGTCTTTTAAAGATATGAAACCACTTCCACATCAACTGGTGATTGGTATGATTCCTTGCTGGGTCGCTCTGGATCATACAGTTATTTAGAAGAAAGAAAACCTTACAGTAGCAGGCTAGAAAAGGATGACTCAACTGATTTTAAAAAGGTACTTGGTTTATTTAATTATATTTAATTTATGATAACCTTTTGTGTTGAGATATTTCTATTTGGATATTCATAGAAGCTTAATGAAATCAGTGTCTTGAAATAACCTACTTTATTTGGCAATTTAGCAATTAATGGTTAAGTAAAATATTAAGTAACTTTTTATATTTACTATTTTATGCTTTAAAGGAAAGAGGAAAGTATCCAGGATTTTACACTAAATGTCTAAGACCAGTTCTGTGATTGAGCTTAAAAGGGGTCTTCAATAGTGTGGGGTATACACACACACACTGTATTTGTTAATAGGAAGCAGCCAAGCAAAGAACATGACTTTTTTTTCTTAAGAGAGTATAGTTTTTCTAGGTAACTGAAAATCTTGTGGTAGCCCAAGTGCTATTATAAAGAGTAGAAATAATAAAGAAATCTTGGAAACACAACAATCTAGGATTCTACCCTGATTCTTCATGTTGTGAGCTTGGAATAAACTTGATGAAGTTTGTAAGAGAAAAAGGAGTCTTGTAATATTTGTGCATGTCCCCAGATTTCTGTCACAACTTGAATTGCCCACTTTCTTACAAGCCAGATCAGCAAGCTAAGGAAGGTGGGTGTGGGAGTCTGCTTACATTATGAATAAGGTATATTCATTCATTCAGTGAAAAACTGAACATGCCCCTGTGCTGAGTAGTGAGTTTCTTGATGGATAATGGAAATAGAGCTATTGTCCCTGCTCATTTGGCCTCTTCTAGATAATAGGAGAGACAGATATTCTCATACAATTGAGGGTATAATTTAGAAATGGAAACAGTTATCCTGAAGAAACACTTTTATGAAAGTATGCAGCAAAGGTAAATGAGAGGCCGGAGGATGGATTTTCTAAGAAAGTGAATTTTCACAAAGAACAGTTAATGATGAATAATTAACTGGTTAAACTGAGAGAAAAAATTATTCCAGATGTAGTGAACTGCAAGCACATAGACTTGGTGATAGAAGGTTACCTGATGCATTGAAGTAATTAAATATTCAGTATGGCTAGCAGAGCAGAGGGGATGGTGATGTGAGGTTGTAGATAGATGTGTAGGATGAGATCAGAGCACACAGTACCTACACACTTCACTATTTTAAAGAATCTCTTTATACTAAGAAAATTGGGAAACCAAAAGTTTTTAACATACAGGAGTTAGTAGAATGGTTGGCCTGTGAAAATTATGAAATTGTCATTTTGAAAAATTAATTCATACTGTTGTATGTAAAACAGATTAGGTGGCAGGAGAATAATCAAATATTAGAGTAATCTAGATAAGAGATGATTGTAGCCACCTCTAGTGAAGAGAGTAGAGATAAGGAAAAAATTTTAGATTCAAGTATTCAAAATTATTTCACTTCCCATTAAATGTTAGTAAAATAATACAAATCTAAATGCAACTGAAAAATCCATCTCAGTGTTAGGAATTCAAGAGAGACAATAGGCAGAAAAGATAACAGACGTAAAGATCACAGTGACTCCGTAGACACAGCTCTAGTTAATGAGCAGATAGTGGTTCCTCTTTACCTGGTAACTGAGTTATTTTAATAGAAACTAAAAAGTCAAAATTTTCAGTGAAATCTTTAGTTTTAAATGCTGAAACTAATCTTTAAGAGTTTATGTGGAACAAACATACCTTCAAGCCAGAAGTTTCTGCCTTGTAACCATAAAGCATTAAAATGTGTTTTTAATGCACCCTTCAGTAGCTATATTAAAGAGAATGTTACATTAATCTTTCTGTTTTATATTGCAAAAATAACCAGTGGGAAATCTTTAAGGTTTTAGGAGAACAAAAAATAATTTGTTTTCTACTCTTAATTTTTATAGCTTTATGAACAAATACTAACAGAAAATGAAAAGCTGAAAGCACAGCTACATGATACAAATATGGAACTGACAGATCTTAAATTGCAATTAGAAAAGGCCACCCAGGTTTGTACCTTTCTCTTTGTTATTATGAAGGTAATGATTGTAATTTATCCTCTATAAAAAAATTATCAAAATGTTTGCTCATACTAGATCTAAACATAAGTATGGTAACTTACAATGGCTTATTTAAAAATAAGAAAGAAACAAAATTGTACAGCTTTCCCATGACTTCATTTACTTTTTTTCTAGGGTAAATGAAAAATGCAAAAGTACTGCCTTATAATAGAAAGTCAAAATAGTTTTAAACTTTTTAATATTTATGCTGTGGTACATGAAAGATTTAAATACTTGTTTCCAGTATACCAGATATACAAAGGCATTAAAAGGACATGTCCAAAATCTTCTTAAAGCTATTAAAATTTCTTTGTAATAATTTTATTTTTTTTTCTTTGTAATAATTTTATTCATTATGAATATTTCTTGTTCAAAAAATATTTTTATAGTCATTCTAGAAGATAATTTTAGTCATAACTCCTTTTACCTTCCTTCTGTGCTCCAGCCTAAAAGAGACAATTTTAGACAAGAAAATTGGGACAGCCAAGCAGAACTGAAACTTATACATATGATCTAGGGTGTGTATGATCTAGGAATTCTTTCCCAAACTCTTTATCCATGGAAGAGTTGTAGAACACAGTAATAGTCACTTTACCTCCTTCTCCTGTCCATTTAAAAAAAAAAAAAAAGCTTTGTGGTCAAAGAATCTTGAGCAATACTATCTGTTGTGCATCTTTGAGATTTTTACAGGGTCTATTTTTAAGTTAAAGTCTCTAGGGACTAATCAGGCATGACAATATGACTCAAGAGCCTAATTTAAAGCTGGAATTCCGCATTGCTAAGTTAGCATGATATAATTAAGTATGTAGAAATGGAAATGGAATGAATTTGAAATAATCAGTTATATTTGTAATGCTGTAACTTATTTAACATGAGACTATAGGCTAAACACAATTCTTAAGTACAACTCACAATCCATTTGAAAGCATTGATCTAAAATGGCATCTCATTTCTATAAATGATACAGTATACTTTCTTTGGTCATTCTTTTACACATTATTTACATAATTTTTTAAAGTTAATTGTCTAGATTAAACTCATACTTGTTGTCAGGTCCCTTTGCTTCACTAATATGTTGTGAAGCAATTGTTTATACACAGTGGAGGCTGTGCTAATGTTCCAGAGATCAGGCTAACCTTATGAGGTTATGAAGGTGCTTCAGATTCCATCAGTTGATGAAGGTTTATTATAAAGACAGAGAAGTAAGGCAGAATAAGAATTCATCATGAGATGTTATAAAAACTTGGGAAGTCTCACAAGTTAAAACTTGCTAGCTTATCCTTAGTACACTGGAATGGCAATCCTGTTAGTGGCCATGGTTCTGTTGTTGACCATTTTGTAGGACACTGGACAATGTATAGCAAGCTAACTTGGGTCTTGCACCAATTTCTCGTTCTCTCCATCATGGCTACAGAAACACTCAGCTGAATTTTAAAATGTGACAGCTTCTGCCTTGCTAGGCATTCTAAGTAGCGTGCCCAATATACTGAATTAATGGGGACAGTAATTCAGAGTATAAGATATTGAATAAATATTCAAAGTTAATTTCTTAGTTGGAAAAACTGTATGTTATAAAATTTAGGGATATATAAATATGTAAGAGTAAAACCGATAGGTATAAATTTTTTGTTCAACTTTAGTATATTTATCCTTTAACATTTAAGGTTACTGTTACTCCTTTCACCTGATTTTTTTCCATTCCCTGATTCTCAGGATTTTATCAACTTTATGTTGTCCACTAATAGTATAGGAACCAGAAAAAATGGAAAACCTGAACTCACCAGAGGAAGAAAAACTATTTTTAGTTAATTTAACTAATTGATTTAAGCTAGGATTTCTTTTAAATGACAGTCAGTATTAAACTTCTTACCAATTCTTGAGCCTAGATGGTTGGAAAAGAGAGTGTGTGCCCATGCACATAGCTTAGAGAGTTGTGAGAGAGGACAAAAAAGTTAATTTACTGGTCTAGCTGCGTGATAGTCTCTCAACCTGGGCAATAAAAACATTCAAGCAAAAGTTCTGGGATCTAACTGTTCAGATTAGTCACTCCTGGTGATAGAGTAAAGGTGGAGCTTGAGCATCTGAGGGAAAACTAGGTTGTTTTGGTTTTGGTCCACAATACTCAGCTAAGTTGTATAAAGACCCAAGGAAAGTGATATATAGACTGTGAGAACTGTGGAGACAATTCTATTTCTAAGCATTCCTTTAATTTTTTATTATTTTGATATAAATCTTGTTTTATCTTTTTCTTTACTTAAGCCTATATATTACTCTACCTGAATAGTACGATTTCTTTAATACCACTAGAGGAGATAGCCTCTTGTCCTGCACCCTCCCTACCATGTCTATTGCACTTACATCCTTTTTATGTATTTTACTGTATTACAGAGACAAGAAAGATATGCTGATAGGTCACTATTGGAAATGGAAAAAAGGGTAAGTGTTCATCTTATTAAATAAGGAATCACTTTCCCCTTTTGTGTAGGAATTTTTTTGTTTTTCTTTGGGTTTTTTTTTAATGGATGATACTTTTAATTAGTTTAATTTTTATTGATTTAATTATGGATATTTTCTGACTTCGCTTCCTTATAGAATTCCATGAGGTTATTCTAGGCATGAAATTACATTTTAAGATTTAATATACCATATTACTCTCTTAATGGATTCAAAAAAACATCTTGCCTTGATTCTGAAATGTACGTATTGTGGCAGTGAATCTAATTATTTTTTTTATGCCATTTATCCCTCTCTTTGACTTCCTATGGTGATATACTTAAAACTTTTTTTTTTTTTTTTTTTTTTTTTTTTGGTGAAAGAACTGGAGTGTGGGCCAAAAGTGCAGGGTGGGTAAGCAGATTCCCCAGAGAAAGAGTAGGGAGCAGATGAAGCAGATTTACTGAAATACACTGCTGAGGGGAGCAGTGGGCAAAATGGGAACTGTCTGCTGAGCCATGTGGGTTAGCTCCTGGCCAAGGATCAATCTTAGGCCCTATTGGTGATAGCACTAAGACTTAACCCCTAGGCCACCAGTGAGACCCTACTTAAAACATTTTTTTTTAAAGATTTATTTATTTATGCATACAAGAACTGGGGTACATGCCAGAGGTGTGGGGGGTGAGATGATTCACCAGAGACAGAGAGAGAAGCAGAACAGGCAGTCTGACTGAAACACACTGCTGAGGGGAGCAGGGGGCAAATCAGGAATGATCTCTGTACCATGTGGATCACCTCCCTGGCCCGGGATCGAGTTCTTGCTACAGTGGCTGCGGATAGCTTCATAGTGCCACGTCTTAACCCCTTGTGCCATCAGGGAGGTCCCCTTAAACATTTTAATCTTATAGTTTAAGTCACTTAGTTTAAGACACTTAGTTTAAGTCCTAGTGAAATAAAAATGTTTTCATTCTTGAAATAAGGTTTTAAAGAGAATTGTGCTTCAAACTTTCATTAAAGTTAATTTAATGATACTTTAAATTTGCTTTTCAAATAGAATATTTTAAACAAAAAAATTGATAAAAATTCTTTGCCACTTTACTTATTTCTGTCATATTTTTATTGGCTGTGATATATTAACGTGTTATTACTGCTACTCAGGAGTCTGGCAGTTGCCACAGGAATTACTTCATAATTTTAGTCTGAGCAGTTGAGAGTGTAGATGATCCAAAGTTAAAAGAAAAGTGCTGCAATACTGTCTGCAGTACAAATGAGTGGGGTGGCTAGCTAGACTTGCAAGGTTTCAACCAGAGAACAAATGATATTTTGGTAGCTCTGGTCTCTAGATTAAAGAGTAAATCTGTATTAAATTTTATGTCAAAGATATGCAGAAATAGTTAAAATATCATTTCTCTGTTACCCATGCGAATGCTTGAATGAAAGACATAAGATAACAATATACTTAATCAAAACAATAATTATTTTAAAATGACACTTTTTAAAGAATAATACTTCTTGTTAAAGTAGTATAGCTTATTAATGAAATTTTAGCAAAAGAGGAATAAAATCATCCATTATCCTATATATAGAGGACTTGTTACTTTGATTTCTATTCTTTTTTTTTTTAATCTAGGCTTATACATACCCGATCCTCACATGTTGGTATTCTGATATTCTCACCTGACTTTCTCTTTTTTCTGCCTGTTCAAATACAAATTACAAAGTAGCTAACTCATCTCAATTTAACACATATTATAGTAGTCATTGTATATTAATAACTGCTAACATTTATTCAACACTCTTACGTACCATTGAGGCACTGGGCTAAGCCGTTTACATGATTTTCTCTTGCCCATGTTTTTTAATGTTAATAAGGTTATCAAAGATAGTAAATTACAACTTCACAGTGGTCAATTTCATTGGGGGATAAGATCAAGCAATTTGGTACAGTGTTCTGTTTTGCTTTAACATTAATTAAAATCTTGATGGTACCTAATAAAATTAAGACTGGTGGGGAGGTTACCGCTCAGGTGGAGGAAATACACTATTTCAAATATTTTACCAAGTTAGGATCAAATATGACACTATATGTGTATTTTGAGAAATATAGTGGTTTTTATGAATTTGTCTTGGCAATATGAACTGGGGGAGAGTTCTGTTTATGGAAAATAACATTTTTGTCTATTTAATAGTGTTTGGTTTAATAATTGTTTGAATATTGTTTAAGTATTGTTTAATCAATAAAAAAGTATGTGGTATTTCAAGTCTGAGTAGGATGCCATCTTTTTTTTAAAATCACAACTCTAAAAACATTAATATTTACAATAAATGTACTGCTCTACTAAATATCAACATTAATAATTAATCTGGGAAAGAATGTCATGGAAATAGTTTCAGTGTGATTAAACTAAATTTAAATGATTTGTATCTGAAAGGTGACCGGCAAGAGTCAGTATCTTCTGGGCGGTATGACCTAACCAAAGTTTTACAGCACATTAATTACTGCTGCTTGCTTTTTGCATAACACCATAGAATGCTTATTATTTCAGAGAGAACAAAACAGTACACTGCAATAATGTATGTTGCCTTTGCCTGTCACTCTGAAACAAGATCGTTTAAAATAAATGCTGCAGTTGCTTCTTCATTAGATTCACTGCATTAATGCTACACACAGTATCAACTAAGTATAAAACAGTAAAGTCAATTGGATAAATAACTTCTAGTAAAGATTTTGAGTAGATGGCTGGCTGGCCAAAAAAAAAAAAAGAGAGAGAGTAGAAGAGATGAACTTCTCTAAGATCCTTTTGAAATTTAAAAGTATACATATTTTAGGCATGTTTGCTTCTTGCTATTCTGCTTCTGTCACTGTAGAATAATTGCATCTTTGTGTGAGTTGGTTTTTTTTTTTTTTTCCTCTTTTCTATACAACCCTCGATCTTAAGTACTGGTTTTACTGTATCCTTTCATATGAGATAAAAAATTAGTTTGAACATGTTATGTGGCATCTCATTACAAGAAAGTCAAAACTTTAAACCTGATAGAAAGTAATAATAATTATTCTCTTCATATTTATTTCTCTCAAATTTCAGAAAGCTCTGTACACATCACTGACATCACATCTTTTTTCTACACTTCTCCTGATTTAATGTTTATTCTAAAGTGTCACTATTTCACAATTTAGAAGCAAACGTAAGTCTGTAATGATTATGTGACTAATATTGGTACCTGAAATTGATTTAGGAACGAAGAGCTCTAGAAAGAAGAATATCTGAAATGGAAGAAGAGCTCAAAGTGAGTAAACCATGCTATTTGTAAGCGATAGTGCCTTTAATGAATTCACATTTTATAGTCATTCACTTTCATCCTTTCCAAAGCTTATTATGCAATTAGTGAATCATCTATATATTGTGCCTCTTTCTTCTTACATTCAGGTTTTAAGTTAAGTTAGATATAAAATTCAGATCTTTTTGTTAATCAATTTTTATAACATTTTCGTTGCTCAGGTATAGAAGAACTTACACAGTAATCTCTTTAAGATTTGGGATTTATTATTTATTCATGTCTGTATGTATTTTGTTTCTTGCAGAATAAATGGTAGAGGGGGACTCATACAAATTGCTCCTTTGAAATACAGGACATTAGAGATGTAGACCAGAGGAGCTTCCTTTTATCAAACTCTGTGTTAACCTGTGGAAATTAACTATTTGTTTTGAATGTTGGAGAACTCTTTGCAGGCAAAAAAGAAAGCATAGTTAATTGATTACTTCTTATTCTATTATCTTACATTATCTTCCATTATCTCACATGATGAGTTAATGAACTGACACATAGGAAATTATGCCCATAGAATTAGAATTTCAATATTTAAGGTGTTTCATTATTGAACTACTTAGTTTCTTATTAGAACATTATTATTGAGAGTCTTTGAAGACTAATTTTTTTTTGCATTTTGTTTCCTTAGTTATTTTGTTATGAAATTTTAGGACTATACTGTTTACTTTTATAAATGTCATGCAATATTTAAGACTTAATTTTTTCTTTATTATCTGTGATTTTTACATTATTATTGTTGTTCTTTTCCATTTTCTTATTTTTTATTTTCTATTTCTTTATGTTCCAATTCCTGCAGAACCACCACCAAATAAAGCAAATTCAAACTCTGAGAGAGTTAAATGAGCGACTGCTGACTGAGAATAGGGCCTTGACAAGAGTGGTAGCCAAGCGCTCAGGGTTCTATAGTCAACTGCAGTCTGTGAACCTATAATTTAGTTTCATCATTTCTTCTTGGTAGAGCCAGGCAGGTGTTTTTGAATTAGTAAGCGTGTCTTGAGCTCACTTTTACAAATTAATGCCATTGTGTCTGGAGCTTATCATATAATTATTTAAATATGCATGGCTTCTCAGAATGTTAGAAAACACTAATTGTATATTGCAATTGATAAACTAGAATAAACTTAGGGAAGGAATTTAGGGATTTAAATAAAATACTTGTCAGCACTTTTGCAAAGCTCATGCACATTTTTGATTCTACATTTAAAATTTGGCACTTAAAAAAACATGACGGGGATTGCAATTGTATGGGGAATATAAAAATAAAATTTATTTTAAAAAAAAAACAATGTGACTAAAATTCTTTGCTAGAAGAACGTTGTAAACAGTATACATGTATTCCACACATCATTAATATGTGTTGAAACTAAAGATTAAGCATGCATTACATTTTTCAAAATAATGTCATTTTCAGTCAGAATCATCTTAGTTAATATTTATTTAATTCTCCATTACAGAAGTATCATAATATATAAGCTTCAGATTACTATATTTTATTCCCATACATTCTGAACACAGGTAAGAATTGATTGGTTCCACATAAAATTAAACTTGTCATAAAGATTTTGCTTTGGGTAGTTTTACAAGTAGAAGTTGTACTTTTATCTATTCGATAATACATTTTGAAAGCTGAGGAAAGAGGACTAAATACCTTGGAAAGTATGTTTTAATGTCTAAAATATAAACCATCCCATTTCCTTTCAAATCTGGCAGCATATGTAATATAAATCATTATAAGTAGAAAATCCAGTAAACTTGCAATGTTTCACTCACTCTTTTAATTTGTCTGTAAAACAGAAGATTGATTTACTCTGTGTTTATGATGTAAGGGTAGGTTTTTTACTACTTTGACTTATAAATTATACTGTTCTAATCATAGTAATTGCTTTGTTACCATTTAATGAGCACCTTTCTAGGATCAGACATCTTACTATGCACTTAAACTTAGTGCTATAGGTGGATCCTTTAAGAATTTTAATAATTTAGAACAAGCTTAACTCTCTGAAAACTTTACTAAATAGACTGGAATAATAGTGAAAGTTATGATTTGAGCTCTGATGTAAATAAAAAGCCCTTGGTTTAAATGCTAATAGAAACTCTTAAAGGAATTCCCCGTAAGAGCCTATCCTAACAAAAGCGGGCTCCATTTTCTTGGCTGTTCTAATACAGTGTGCTTGTGACTCATAATACCAAGTGATTTTTACATTTCAATTGATAAATTTGGAAGATTAAACCTTTCGTTCATCATGTATTAAACTAATTAGTTTCACAAACTAGGATTTTTTTCCTTCCTTATACATGTTTACTCACTAGTAATATAGATAACTGACAAAGCTTGTTCATGTGTCTTGTGGTGAAAATATAACGTTTATTAAGAGTAATTTATCTTTTAATTGAAATGAAGCTTTTATTTCTGTTTTTCCCTTCATAGATGTTACCAGACCTAAAAGCAGACAACCAGAGGCTAAAAGATGAAAATGGGGCCTTGATCAGAGTTATAAGCAAACTTTCCAAATAAAAAAAAAGCAGCAAGTAATGGAATTGCACATATTAGTAACATAATGGACCATAATGGACAGTCAGTGGAAGTCTGGAAAGAATCCGTGGAGTCTGTCTTTTTTGGATATCCTGCCAAATCCAAATGCCCTCTTATCTAGGATTTGTTTTGATTTTCTGATTTTTTTTCTTGTATCAAGACCATTGTTTCATGTTAACGTAGCTGCTGAGAAGATTTTTTTTAATGACTGAGAAAACTTGTTTACAGCTCCAGCATATAAGGAAAGTGTTCAAGGCCAGATATGCCTCAGATATTTAACCAGTAAGCCTTAGTTGTACATAAGTATTTTGTGTCAACAAAAACCTTCAGCTCTCACAGAAGACAGTTATCCAACTTTTTTTGATGTGCCACAGTTTCCAGATTTTTGATATTTAATTTTTTTTGCTTTACATCTAAGTTTTGGGTTTGTATTTTTCCTTCTAACTCTTCATGTGGCAGACCTTTCTGGTTTCACAATTTTTTTTTTTTCCCCAGAAAAAAAAGCAACACTTGCTTTCCTAAGACCGTTTTCATGTATTAGGCTAGTGCTGTATTGTCTCCCACCTGGAACTGAACTGCTTGGTGGAACATTTGCTTTCACTGTTCGTGCAATATGCATTTATTTCTTATATGAATGCTTTAAAGTCAGCTGAGATTAGATTCTTTTAAGTCCCATTTTCTGCCCTCATTGGACACTTTTTTTGTTTTTGTTTGTTTTTTACTATTGTAGTATATAACATGTTAGATTCTGTAATCTTCACACCATTTAGCAGGTACTGAGTGAATGCTGTATATATAAATAAGTGTACTGTTTTGATTTTTAGAAGACTACATGGCATGCTTGACTATTATTTCAAATGTCTGTTAATGCAAAGTAGGCTACTCCATAATAGTGTTAAAAACAAAATTTGCTAACAAGGTGATATAGACTTTAAAAATAACACATTATGTGGAGTCCTATCTTTACAAAAGTTTTCTACTGTAAAGTACTTTTATTTCCGGTTTTCATTTGATAGTATTTAACCATAATTAAAGTTGCATAAGATGATTGCTTCACATTTCACATACCTATATTTATCTGAGTGCTGTCTAAAACTGTTGTGCTAGCCAAAGTAATGCTATGAAATCATTTGCAGACTTTAACCCGTGAGTTGATGTTAAATGCACTGTTGTTGCCATGTGGGCATGGTTGTTGCCATTGACTTTGATACCATCATCATGTTCAGATCATTTTATACATTTCAGTGGCCTTTTAAAAAAAAAATAGGGAAAAAAAAAAAGAAAAATCAAGTCCATAGTGAACACGGCTTTTATTTGGACAAAATGCCTTTTATATTTTCATTAAACCATGCAAAAAAAATTACATCTTTCTGGCACATAACTGTCTCCTTAACCACTGAACAGTTCAGCCATTTAAATAAATTGTACATTGTAAAGCTTATAGTAGCTAATTGTATTATTGATTGTATTGTATACTATATTAAATGTGAATTTGTACCCCTACATTTTAAAAGGTCATTGTGTTCTACTGCCTATTTTCAATTACTTTGGGATTGGGAAAGGGTGTTTTGGTAAAGCAGGATTTTAAGTCCTCTCTCTTGATTGGTTTTATGAAGATATAAGGTTATGCTCTTACTACCAAGCTCAGGATTCTTGATTTTTAAAGGTACAAAGATAGTTGTGGGAACTTTATTTTTGGTTATATTTGAGCTGTGTGAATGGTGGGTCTGAATATAGAGAATTTCCATGGTCTTATATGGACATAAAATATACAGATAATTGATCAGTTTGAATGACTGCAACATGTTCTGGTTGCGCAACAGTTAGGCATGCTAAGGATTATATTTGTGAAGTTTGGATGCCTGTGAAGAATGATTAAATACATGTTTCTAATATTTTAGTGTTTTGTATTTAGGTTATTTATTCTTTGTATCTAAAACTGAACAGCTACTGTGCTCTATTGATTTTATTGGTAGTATTGAGCAGACCTTGTTTCTGCATGAAACTAGTTGCAAAACCCACTATTTTGGAAATAAAAATGTATTTTGACATATACAAATAAAATGAATAAAACTATTTTAAATGTGTGAACTTTTACTGAAAACATTTTAAATTTTGTTCTGAGATATTTAAATTCTGCATGGGTATTTTTTCACTAATTGCTTTACTTGGATTCAAATTTGAATAATTTTTGAAATTGTAATATTGTGATAATTTGCACAACATTGTACATGCACATCTGTAAATGCAATCTTAATTGCCATATTTATGCAATCTGTGTAACAATTTGGACAAATGTTTATATATTTTACATAAAGCTGTCTGTATGCAGAATCTGAGAACTAGTTTTTTTGTAAGTTGGGTAAATAATGAGTTAGCATGATATTTCATTTATGTAAACATTTTTTTAACTTGTGCTTTTTCTTAACTGCAAATGTAGATGATTATATATATATATATGTATGTATATATATATATATATATTTTTCATGTTGGTTAAATATCAACTCATTCTCCAACCTAGATTTTTCCAAGGTTTACCCACAATCTACTAACACTCTTGTAACTAGATCAGTGATACCTAGAGTTTGAGAATTTTCATTGAGGATTTGTAGTAAGCCTGTGTTTAAATTACTATACTAAGAACTGATTTCTATTCTTTCTACACTTTTCCTTTTCATGTTCAAAATGATAGATATTAATATTGATCTCCATAAAATAGTCATGTGCAAATACTTCTGAGCCAAATGAAAAGCAACTATAGGGGCCTCCCCGGTGGTGCAGCGGTTGAGCGCTGGGTTGCGAAGCTGCCTGCGGCCTCTGCGGCACTGGTTCGATCCCCGGCCACCAGAGGAGGGTCCCACATGGCGCGCAGACCTCTCCTGCCGCCCACTGCTCCCCTCGGCAGTGTACTTCGGTCCTTCTGCCTGCTCTGCTCCCCGCTCTGGCTCTGGTTGGGCAATGCAATGCGGGCCAGCGGAGGCCCAGGGCGGCGTCAGAGCGATGGTATCTCCGGGTGCGCTTCGGGACGCTTGGCAGGTGTTCTCCGTGAGCTTCTGACTGTGCCCAGTGCATGTATAAACAAAACAAACAAACAAATAAATAAATAAAACATGCCTCTATTTTAAAAAAAAAAGCAACTATAAAAATAGCTGAAAGATTATTCATATAAAAAATAAAGTAGATGTTCATTACTATATTAGGCTACTTTTTCTTTAGCTTGAAGATTTACTGCCACTTAGCCTTCCCTGTCTAATCTGAAATAGTCCTGACTCCCAGTGTCAGCACTCACCGAATCTGTTGTAAAAAGCAAATATCCATAGGAACAAATTCTCTCTAAACTAGAGCCATGTATTTTCTATAGGATATGATAACCTTATAGATTTCATTCACTTTGTTATTTTAAGCATAATACAGACCAGACTCCACTAACATTTACTGTCCATTAGTCACATCTTGCCGATGAAAGCCTCTGATTGTAGAGATGAAAGTTGGCTGATAAGCAATCTTTTCTGTGATGTTCCATGTTTTATACTGTATGCGTGTGTGGTCTCCATATGTCTGAGTTACACGTTCAACTCGAGTAATAAACAGGAGAGCTGCAGTACAAAAAGGAGCTGATGTGAAATAATATATTTTTATTCCCATTTTATCATAGACCTCAAAATAACTAAATACTATTAACTTTCACTTTGGAAGGATTCTCTGGCATTGTTATGTAAACAACAGAGTACTCACAGGTAAATGGCATAGAGTTACATTTCTGATTCCTACATACAAAATTACCAGACTACAAAGTAATAAATTTGAGCCGGAAGTGTAAAATTATGTCAGACATAAGTAATTATATCTTATTAATGTAATTTGAATTTGTTTTTACAAGTTTTCTAAAGTCTTAGATTTTGAGCCATGTCTCAACATGTCACTGCTAAATTCCAGTAAATATCTAGGACACAAAATTTACCTAGATTTTCATTTTGAAAAAGTAAAGAAAAAGATAGGGGGAAGTTTGAAGAAATGAACAATTTTAGTAGGTTCTTTTCTACTAAAATTCTTTTCACTTGATTTACAGCTAGTAAGGCCTGTAAAATTGTTTGTGTGTGGGTCTAGGAGAGTGGGTGGGAAAGGAAAGATTCACTTTTGTTCCTCTTCCTCATGTTCAGTTTTTCTTGCAGGTCTGTTTTGATACAGGTTTTCTTTAATAGGATATTTCACTTGATGCTTATAACAAGCTGGGTAAATAAAATCTATCTCATTTTATAGTTGAGAAAGCTGACGTTTATAGATGATAAACTGGTAGAACAAAGTCCAGTATACAAACAAGTTCTTACCCAAGTTTAATGGTGATTGTCATTTTTTCCCAGTATTAATCCAGGATTTTTCACACTGTCAGTTTGATAGTTTATTTGCCAAAAATTTCATATATTACCCATAAGTTTATTTTAAATGTTTAAGTTTAAAATACTTGATTATAAAGTTGGTGTTTCTTGCACATTCTTTCTCTAGTCCTACATCCTCATCCCAACACCCACTAATTTTTTTCTCCTCTTCTTAGGAAAATATTACTAAGCCATTTTGCCCTATAATGGATAGGATTTTTATGTTTAAATTAATGTTTTAATGCTCTAGCAACTAGTTAATCCCTGGTACAAATTCTCACAATACCCAGTAGACCATCCTAAGTTTGTACAAGATTTTTACATACCTACATGCAAAGAAGTCTAGCATTGATAGTGCTATGGTTTTAGTGAAAATGTGAAATGCCAATATACAGAACACATACCCGCCCCCAAGAAATTAATGACCCTGTTAGTGTCATGACAGCATAACTCCCCCACTTGTTACGGCATGATTTTTCAGGACCAGAGCATTTCTGAGCAGGTGCAACTTACCTCCACTCGCTGTTAAAATACTTGTGCTAAACATGTGCTCTGGTTGTTTTCTAGTAGATTTGAGTGGAAATGTTGCTATAAAGAAAAGAAACAGCAAATATGGAGCAAAAGGATACCACACAAAGAACTTGTCAATGTAAGCGCATTAATGCTTTCAGATGTTTTGGGTATTTTACAATTTTTAAGAAGGCATTTTAACAACATGTTATTCAAAAGTTTGTGAGACCCATAAGTACCTTTGCAAAACCTATGGGGTACTGATTTTTAAACACTTGGCATGATGGAGAACGTGTTGGTTTCAATCAGATCTGCAGCTTCATCTCTCAATTGGGTGATACTAACCAGTCAGGCTCAATTTCTTCAGGTAAACATTTATATAAAATGCTTTAAATAGTTCTTGGAATTTAGTTGATAGATACGCAGCAAATGTAATATAACTGAACAAATTACATTTATTTGTGATTTTTAAAAGTACTAATAATTTGGAACATTAGTTTTGCTAGAATCAGTTGGTAAATGTAGAACAATGTTATTTCCAAAGAATCTTGTGCAGTTAAAAAATAATGTCTCGGTATATTAAAGTGAAATTTTATAAATTTGTTGCCATAAGCAACACCTATAAATGTATGTCACTCTTACAGGTGTGGCACACAAAAATGCATTTGCTATAGAATAGGTTGGTGGTAAGTATGATTAGTAAATGTTTTGATTTTTAAAGTTTACATAGTGCTGTCATAAAATATCCTGAGGTCATCTGGGCCATTTTTCAACCTTCAGATCAGGCTAACCTGGCTAGATAATGATCGTAGGCAGAAGAGTTTTATAATCTCATCTGGTCTTTTGCCTGAAGTTTAGAGTCTTGCCCATCTCATTCTTATTCCATGTTAGACTGCACCTCTTGTATCTAGTACTTGCTTTACCTCAACCATAGGTAGAAAAAAACAGCAAAAAGGGGAGCTAAATTTTAGTCTTTTCTGGGTACAAGATCCTAACCATGCGTACCCAAGAAGCAAAGCCAGCAAAAAATATGCCTTGTGGAGGTTACATTCAAATAGTAGAAAGATTGATAATAAGCAATTACACTATATTAGAAGGTAATGGGTACTATGAGAAAAAAGAGCAGGACAAATTACAGAAATGAAGGGAGAACTAGTCCAAGAAGACCTTGCTGAGAAAGTAAAATTTGAGTCAAAACTGGAAGAGGAGCCGCCCTGGTGGCACAGGGATTAAAGACGACGCTAGTGTCTTTAAATACTGTCTTTAAATACTGCCAGCCAGTGTATTTCAGAACATCTGCATGTTCTGCTCCCCACTCTGTCTCTGGTGAATCCTCTTATTCCCCCAGCTCTTACAAGAGCTGTACCCCAGCTCTTGTATGCATAAATAAATAAATTAAAAAAAAATAACTGAAAGAGCAGGACTAATGCTATGCAAATCTAAGAGAAGAGCATTTCCAGGCAGAGGGAGCAACAAAAGATCTTCAAGTGCAGATGTTCAATGTTTGACAAACAGTAAGGCTGAAGTGGTTATAAACTAAAGCACTTTGTCCTATATACATTTACAGGAAAAGGTCAACAGTAACAAGAGCTAGATTAATAGGCCTTCATTTAGACATTATTAC